GGGACGAAGGTATTCAATGAGACAGAACAGGATCTGGCGGCTTTTCAGCCTCGTCCCCCTTTTCACCTGAGCCTCTTCAGTCAGCCTGCTGATCTTGGCAACAATAGGTTTCGATGTGATGCACTTTCTCAGTGCAGCATTGAACTTATTGTCAAGGATCGGGTAGAGGCACTCCCCATCAAGTTCCTCTATTGTGCTGGCGTTCTCGACACTCATGACCCAAGACATGGCATATGGCGAGTCATAGCTGAATGCGTTGCTCACGATTTCTCTTGTGGAAATGATCCAGTCTCGCAACTCATGCGGTGCGGGCTCTTTTTCGAGCTCTATGTTGGCGCACTTGTTCGCCTCAGATGGCAACGAAGTTAAGGGCGGTCGAGTAGCCTGCCCAAAAACATGGGGAGGTAAAACGCCGTCTCTGCCAATGGATATGGCACACAGGGAGCAACTCCCGGACGATGGCGGGCAGCACGCGGCGCATAGAGAAGTGCGGCACAATGAACAAGTTTGGAAACATGGAGGTGTCCCGGGGATGCTGGTCTTGACATTTATGTTGCACCGAGGGCAGACTCTCTCCTCAGCGGAAGATCGGCGAATATCGGGAGCTCCAATACCGCCGACGCCACCAACGCCATGCACACCCTTACCGAGTCCTGGTGGAAGAGAAAAACCAGTTGGCCCGCCAGAGTTATCCTGTGCTCCGTGGTGAGGCTGTGGATTCTGCTGATTTGTCACAGCAGCGTCAGGTCCGTATCTCCCGCGAATGACTCCCTGAGACGTTCCATGCTCAACCTGACCGGTGAAAATCCCCCCTGTAGGGGAACATCCGGGGTACGTGTTGATGGTCCCCCTCGGAACTGCTCGTCCGACTACGGGCGAAGACATTGCCCTTGGTGGCATTGGCCCGGCAGCTCCGGCGTGGGAACAGAAACCAGAATTCCCTTGGTGCGGTTCAGGACTCCGATGTGACGGATCTCCACGTGATGGCCCGGATCCAGGATCAGGAGCAGTGCCATCCCGCTGATTATGATCAGGAATGCAATCAGGTCCTCCAGGCCCCGCACTGGGACCGCGATGCTTAGTCTTCCCGTCGGGGTCAGCTCTCAGACAACCGAGGCAAATAGGTCGAACACTCGATCCAAAACGGCGCACATCGTCAGGTGAGGCGATGTGTGATCGCAGTACTCGTCCTTGCATATGAGACACCTCACAAGTCCGTGTCTCCCCCCTCTTCCTCTGCATGCGCGGCATCTAGGAAACTGATCGCTGCACTTGAAACACGAGTTACAATCATGGTCAAAGCAGTCTTCGCAGACTGACTTGCCGCAGCTTCGGCATGGATAGCGAGGTTCCCGATGCTGTGGATGCCCGGGCTCCTCATGAGCACACCTGGCCCGGTTATCAGGGGCAGCGCCGGCAGCCCGAGCAATGGCCCTCGTTCTAGAGGGATCCCTGCCGAAGATGGGGGCTGATGGTGACGGTGGGGGTGGCCCTGAAGGAGGTGGAGGTGGAGGAGGCCTAGCCGAGCTGACGGTGCGAGCATCACGAGAGGGAGAACCTCTAGGAGCCCTTCCCTGGGTTAAGGGATCAGTGTCTCCAGATTTCTCCCATGGTCCCGTTCCGGCGGTCGAAGCAGCGCCAGCACTTGAAGGCCCGCAGGCAGCAAGAGGTTGCTCCCTCAACTCAGCGATCTGCATGTTGATCTCATTGACCCTCAGCACAAGCTTCATAAACTGCTCTTGCATGTCCCTCGGATTGGGGCCTAAGCTTTTGTCATGAAGGTCCTTGACGCATCTAGCAATACGGGACAATTGAAGCTTGAACTCCTCCTGTTTCTGTGAGTTCTCATTGAGAGCTCCGGACATCCTATCACTGAACTGCTTCAGGTCGGTCGCAGGAACGAGCTGCTGGATATACGTCTCGACGTTCCCACGGATGGTTCTTTCCCTTGAGATGGTTCCCTCAATGTCGATGACACTGCGAGAGTTCGCCTCAACTTCGTCCTTGATTTTCCGAACCTCAGCCTCAAGGGCCCCGATCTCAGAGAACCTAAGGAGCTGGACCTTGACGTTCTCAAGTGATTCGGCCTGCTCGCGAAGTTCAGCAGCGGATATGACGATCGAGTCAGACCTCTCATCATACATCTTGAAACGCTCATTCATCTCCTTCTCGCTTCGGGCGACCCACTCGTGGAAATCACGGAACTTGGCCTCGTGTTTTGAGAGAGTTCCGGCAACGGCAGAGAAAGATGATTCAACCTTCTTCTCGAAGGCGTCAACACGGTTATTGATCTTCTTGATCTCACCGACGCAAGCGTTGATATCATCCCTACATGAACGAATCTCAGTTCTGCATCCCTGGATTTCGGCCTTGCACCCCTTTACCTCGTTGTGGATCGCGAGAAGCAGTCGTTGAAGCTCAGATGCAACAGGATGGCCGCCACTTGTGGAAGCAGACGGAGCAGGACGACTATCAGCGTCATGATCTCCGCGCCTATTTTCTTCCCTGTCGGGAGTGCAGCCCGGAGTTCCAATTTGAAAGAATGCGGGGACGAGGGAGTTGTTGACCGGTTGATTTGAAGGAAGCCCTCCATGTCCAGGAGCAACAGTGCTAAGTCCAGGTCTCCGATTCCTGGGCGTAGAGTTAATCCCGTCATCAGTCTCCTTCTCAGACATCGGGGCATTGGAGCTGAGCCCAGACCCCGCAGAGTGGATAGGAACGTCAATAGGATCGTGATGAGCTGGGGGATTAGATCGCAATCGCAAGCAGCTTCACGTCTCTCGGGTGACTCAGAGCTCCTCTTTGTGGCTCGTGAGTCAGTGCCGGTTTGTCCCGACATGTTATCAAAAGATGACGACCCGCGAAGTTGAGCTTGATCTGGATCAGGTTGAGTGAGATCAAGCCGTTGAGCAACGTCACCAATGAGTGGCTTAGGGGAAAGTACTTTGGCAACGCGGCTCGGCGGGAGCGATGTCGTTCGTCTCTCTGGTGTGACCTCGGCCTCATCGATTACATCAAGGATCCCAGGGATGGTTTCATCATCTTCATTTCCTCTCCTGGGTGGCTGATGGAAGGGGATGTCGAGGAGGTCGAAGGGAGTAGAGCCAATACCAGGTGTATCCTGCTCGGATCCATCACTGGTACGGTGGCTGGACTGCTCTTCGAGGTCGATGACGTCGGGGGCGGACTCTTTTCGAGTCTGACGCCGATTGAACGCCGCGAATAGACCGGCATGGCTTCTTGATGAAGTGGAGGAAGGATTTGGGCCTGCTGTTTCGCGGCCCGCGTCCGATCGATTAGTACTTGATGCCCGATTTGGCGGATTTGAGCCCGCGTTGTAGCGGTTCGCATCCCGACCTCGGGTACCTGAGGAAAGCGGTGGATTCGGACCAGCGTTGTAGCGGTCCGCATTCCGGTCGCGGGTACCTGACAGGTGAGATGATACTGCGTCAGGGATAAAGTCCATATCCGCCGGACTGGGGTGATCGTGAATGATGTCAATGTCGGATGAACCTGAGACGGGAGGAAGGCCAGCTATTTGCGGCCAATCCTCAATCGCCCGTTTGCCCACCTCGGGTTGGGCCGAACCTGCAACATGAGAGGGGGAGAAATCTTCAATGGGGTCATTTTCTCCATCATGAGGAAAACCCTGAGTAGGCTCATGTGTAGGCAGGGCATCAAAAGATCTGTCAATTCGGGAAGGCTGCGACCTCCAATCAGCATCAAAAAGGGATTGAAAATCCAGATTCCCAACCGATATGGGGGCACCCGAGTTGAAGTCGAGCCGACCGAAATCAGGCGGTGTAGCCTGCGATCCACTGCCGAGGAGCTGGTCAAACTGATCCCATGTAAGGGACCATGATTGAGCCGGCTCCGGATGAGCAGCATGATGGACAGCCCGGTCCTCGATCTGGAGCGCCACGAACGGAACAGTAGGCGAAATCGATGAGGGCACCTGATTTGGAGGAACCTCAGCCTCTTCTAGAGGGGGTCCGTCCTCGATCTGAAGCACTGCCGCCGGGATAGGGGCCTCCGCATCCTCATCAAACACGACCTGAGAAAGGATCCAATCGTCCGTGATCACCCCGGGATTGGGCTCTGCGCCCACCATCGGGGGAATGGGCCACAGCCGGCTGTCTAAGCCGGGAGCAGCAGGCGCGGCGTTGCCGCGAAGGGCGTTGGCCTCGTCGTCCACGAAGCCCGGCCCACGATGTGAAGCTCCGGGGGACGCCATTGCTCGTACAAGTAGGCGATGGGAGCAGGTAGCGGGTCACGTCCCGCAACCGGATCACCAGCCCCAGCTTCTAGCTGGTACGGCTGATAACCTGCGGTTTTGGGCGAACACGAAGTAGCCCAGGGAAGCAAATGAGCACAAGGTAGATCACAATGTACCCAAAGCACCCGGAAACACAACTCGGGTGAAGCTGTGGATGATGACCGGGTTGAGGATGTGACGGTGGAAAAAGACGGTGTTTGGGGAGGTTGGGAAATAGGTTGCAAAAGTAGAGAAGTCAATCAAGCCCAGGATGACCTCGACGACCGACCACCTACCTCCTAACACCGGCGCCCCGCAGCCCCACGGTTTTCACCTCGGGGACGAAGAGTGCCGCCGTGTTATGGCGGGTGCACGTGGGTCCGAGATTGCCCTGACGGGAGGTTGAAATCTTGAGCCATACGGCCATTCGGCCGCTTTGCCACATGATGAAACGACACGTGAACAAAACACAATTTTGAAGCACGCAACATGTCAAAATCGCGGTTCAATCATGCTTGCAATTGCGCAGGTTCCTTTGCCTACGCACGTTAACGCAGTGAACACGCCAAACCCTTCGCCTCTTCTGGTACTGGCCCAAAGAAGCGGCTTACTCTCAAAAGTCACCCCCTCCAGTCTCGCTTCGAGAACTCCCAGAAGTCACTTCAATGACCCCAAGGCCCAATGGAAGGCTCCCACGTTGTGTCTGTACACACCCTGGCGCCCCAAGTTCATCCGAGAACGGCGCGCGGCTGTGCCTCGGCTCCCAAAGCAACACTTGGAACTGACTTTGAACGGTTCAAAGCCGAAGGTGCAAAGTATTGAAATAGGAGAAGTTACCAAAGGACGGCCACGAATACTCTGTAAAGATGTCGCTGCTTTCCAGCATGAAGGCATAATGCGACGGCCGCCGACGTGACCACGAAAACTAATATCCGACCAGCTTTGAGGGTGCCACGTGCAATGTATGGAATGCAGCTGTGCTTCTTTGTCCCTCACCAGATCTCCTTGCAATGCGTGCCTGGAAGGGTGTTTAAAAGAGGCCTCGATTGTTGACACTGTGCCACATTGGTGGCTCACCGGCATTTGACCGAATCATTAGGTAAAATGTGTCCAAGTCGAGTGTCTGGTGCGCGATTCCCCTAAACTGAGACTGGATCTGGCGTCCTTTGCGGGCCATGCGCCACTCATCAAACCTGGGCTGCCCTCAGATCCCCCGCTGAAAGTTTAACTTTTACTGGGTTAAATGGAAACTACCACTAAACTCTAAAAGGATCTAAAAAGCGAAAGAACCGGATAGCTGGCTTCGCCACCAATAAACACCAACCCTCCACAAATCCCCAGCCTTGGGTCAAAACGAAATCTGGGTCCTACAATCCGAGCTGCCAAGGGCCGCAACTTGGAGTCTGAAAACAATCAAGTTGACTGGTGGGAAGCACAAGCTTCCGGCGGCAAAAGTTCCGAAGGGAAGGACCTGAAACTCAATTCCTGAGTGGATTGGTCAAAAATTCCAAACCTTCTACTTACCACTAAAGCGGTCAGACCCAAAAAGTGATTCGAGTCCGAAACGAAACTCAGGAAGTGAGGAAACGGTGAAGTGAACCTATTACAGTATGTGGGATTTCAGACGTTGCCAAAGGATTGCTGCTCTTCCCCTTTAGGCCCTGAAGAACAAATAGGCAACACTCCGAAATGGGCCAGAAATGGCGATGTCCACCAAGCCATCGATGAAACTCTGCATCCTGAATCTTCCGATGAGCGATTTTCCACTCGTGCAGATTACCGTGCATTTATCTGAAAAGCTCGCGGTTCAAGAAACAACGCTCGCATTCGGATATCCAAAAAATAAATTGTCCATCGTGTGGGCTGAGTCTGTCTGCTACTCATGTGCAAGATTTGCAGCGGGCGCCGAACGTGGCAAAACTAGCACTTTTTGATGTGCGCTCGTGTGGCGGGAAATTGCGCTTTTGTAGCGGGAATGTGCGCTCGTTGTGCGGCCTTGCCCGTTTCATCCAGAAAAGCTGCTGCTCTGTTCAAAACATTGACCGCATTGCGCAAAGTGTTCTCCAAAGGAGCCTCAATTCCTTTGTATCAAATGGCAACTTGAGCAGAAAATAACCCTCGTTGTAAGATACAGGCACCAACATGGATCAAATTGCTATTTACCAACCCGAAACGAGTACTGTAGGCTCTTTATAACATTGCCCAAATCAATCATAGGGAAATCATGATAAGCCAGAGCCTGAAATGAGACATTGACCCCCCAACTATATATTCAGTGCAACGGAGTGCCACGGCTTTCCCTTCCTCTCGCTCAGGCTGCCACCCATCACGCCGGGCCGCCAAACGCTCCCGGAACCTGGGCCGTCGTCTTGCGGTCTTTGCGCTCGCCTGTTGGCCTCCCTTCGGCTCCTTTTCTTTCCTACTCAGCTGAGTGGATTGGCCAAAGAAAGCAAGAAAACTGGTTGGTTGGTAAACTGGTCTTCGCAAGTGACGGATTTTCCAGAAACTCAGGGATGGAGGATTCTCTGGGGAAAGCAGAAGGCCAACCATCCATTCAGCAACAAGCAAGCCTTCGCCACTATCACCAAACCAAGGGTGAGCCCTTGTGAATATCGTTCTTTCGGGACCCCAAACAAATGGTTGTGTTTTTCTATTTCAAGCCCAATCCAGGTCTCCCCAAACAACAAGACATACCCAGCAATAGGCGGCTGCTGGCAAGTTTCCTTATTCTGCATTCCGGTCGTATCTTTAACGCGCGCGCGCTTCCATTCTTGATGAAAAGAACGACCGCTGGGAGGGAAGATACGCTGACCTGGCTTTGAGTTTGCTTCTGGCCCCTCCCCTCGAAATTCCCAGAAACAAAAACGAAGGAAAACAAGACTTGCGGGTGGCCAACAGTCACAGGTGTGGACTCCTCGTGGATTCCTGACTAAACAACATGTCTAGGTTATGTTGGGTAACTTCAAACAACATACAAAAGTATGCCACAATAGCTCCCACAACCACTGGTCTTATGACTTGTGCTTTCCGCCGAAGCCCGTCAGAACGCAAGCTGTTTTCAAGAACATGGTGCCTCACCATCTTGCAAATGAAGGTGGGCCCAAAGATCATGTGCAGTGGCGTGCTGCTTGTTGAATGGAACATACCGGGCGGATTGACGCTAATTCGTCCCAAGGATCTGGATCTAACAGTTTCATGCTGGGCCAACAGCTTACACCACTGTTGACATGAGCTGCTAGTAAAGCTCTACCCAAAACCCATGAGAACGGCTGAAAGCTGCGGGTTGTAGCTGCACCACTTTTTGGCTGGAAAAGGAGTCTCCTAGCATTTTCTATTTTTTGTTTTACAAATCAAAAGATACATATCCATTTTCTTGTTTAGACAAAAAACAAACAAACACATATTTTGATTTGCAGCACCTCTACTAACTCTGCGTGGCCTGCTCAGGTTCCCACGCAGAGCTCAAGCCTGCCTGAGTCTCGCGTGAGATCGGACGACCGAACCAAACAAACAGCTGCTTTGGCGGGTGCAGGGAAATCAAGAAGCAACCCACCAGTTATATGTGGATTCCAGGAAACTGGTCGACATGTTGCCAAGCATCCGTCTTAAACAGTACTGCAGGATAGGACAACATGATTCCCATGGTGCTCAACAGGTCTGGACAAATAGATGATTCGCATGACTTGGTGCTAAATAGGCTTAGGGCGTCTTCAGACTTTTACACAAATCGCGTATGCTACTTTCCCTTTGGGTACATTTTAGATTGTGGGGCACTCTAGCAACAATGACCAACCACCACCTGTGAAGAACCATCTACAAACTATATCAGCACATAGCATTGCTCTGAAATGACCCGCTCAACCTTTAGCTGCCCGAAGGCAGCTAAGCGGTTCGTAGCATCTTGAGCCATCCTCAAGAACCGATAAGACAAAAACATGCTCTTCGGGGGGGGTTCAAAGGGAACCAACAAAAGGAACCTAGCCGTTCTGGGGTCCAACATCATCCCGCAGCAATCTACGCAAGCTCGCTCTCCATGATCATCAACTGCGCCAACTGTGTCATCAAGCAGCAAAGCCATTGGACGGGGGGCTCAATCCTGACCCTTCCACATTTGATTGGGACAAGAAACCATAGCACTTGTCTACAAGTCTGGAAGTTACGGGCGAATCCTTTTAGACCACGGTGCAACATATTATGGGCGTGTTCTTGCAGAGTACCCTTTTTTGGGCTGGGGGAAAGTAAAAGGACAATCGCCATGTGTGGCGCCCAATTTTCACTCATGACACAACGGCAAAAAACTCGATGGGCGGAGGGGCAGGGGGGGGGGGGGGCTCATCTGACTTCTTCGCAGTTGATGGGAACACCCAGGTGCCCAAAGGGGGGGGGGGGGGCGGAAGAAACCACATTTTGCTTGATTCCAGGGTTCAGAAAGTGTCTCGTGCTGCACGGCGGATTTGCTTTTTTGGTGTGTGTGTGTGCGGCTTGCCATAGCGGTTGGGCTATTTTGTCTAGTCCTCGGTCACTGCCTCCCTTGAATAGGAAGGGCTGTTAAATTGGTTGTCGGATGAGTTTGGTGTCTTGCCGTTTTGGTCTCTGGTCAGCTTAGGCGGATTCAGGATATGGTGGAGGCAGGGGGCTGCTTCTGGTTGGCTTAGGGGCGAACATTCCTTCGGGATGTAAGTTTGTGTCCCTTGCCTGCTGCTTGCTGATGTCCAGGCTTCAAAAACACAAGATTCTGAAAGCACCAAACAAACACACATATGTATTGTATGTATACCCGACAAACAAACATCACCTTTGAGGAACATCCATGTGCAAGGAGAGATTTACGGTCATTGTGACTGCTGGCCAGGCTACCTATTCGAATGAAATAGGCACGCCAGAAATACCTGGCATAAATCGTGGCCAAGTGATTCGCCTTTCTTTGGAGGTTTCATGGATGAAAAGTATGGGGCGCAAACCAGTCAATAAAGCAGTTCCAGTCTCACTTGTCCACGGAAATTACAAGAACGGTGAACCCTTTGCGCATGACCAAAACTGGACCAGGGTAGACAATCGTTGTACATACGCTCAACGGGTGGACTAATTTCGGGCAACACTGCCTGCGGTTGGCAATTCCTTCAGCGCTCGCTTGTCTACCAGAACCAGTTAGACAGACCACAGTCGTTCGACGACATCCGGGAGAACCATACTAGTCGAAGGACTTCCCTTGAAACCTATTCGAACTCCATTCTAAAACCTGTTTGATTGTTTTTTTCTAGAAGCACTCTGCCCTGAATCCCGGCATTTCTATGGGGATGAAGTTCAGAAGTTGTCCTCGCTGAAGGCGTCCCTGACCTCTGAGACTCTGAGACTCCCACCATGAGAGCGCAGGCATCACAAGGGCGCAGTGCGGCAAGGGTGTCGTCTTTTTTTGAGGGCACCCCTGATTGCTATGTTTGAAAGGGACCAAAAAAAAGGAGAACCCACCATTTGGGGGTCCCCTAAAAAAAGAGGACAGACCCAAATGTTGCTAAGAACCCGAAGCCAATGGATCCAATAAGATCATCCAGGTGGGTATCTGTCTCATGGTTCCTTTGCGATCGGTGCGAGAGATGCAAGGAATGAGACATGGAATCACCAACAAAAACCACCCAACTGGCGGTTTCCCTTTCAGGGGACCAAAGCCTGGGTTCAGTCAACCACATTCCCTACTTACGTAACCACAGGAAATCATGATGTAAAACCTAGAGGTAAGGATCCCGAAGGGTCTACTATAGTGGCTTGCTTGGAAGCACTGGTAGGTACCCAGCTATTGGTCTGAGGGTGGTTCCCTTGGTTTCCGACTATGCAGGTAAATAGATCCACTCGGCAAAGGGAAGCAAAAGTTCCCCTTCCCTGTGCCAGTGTGTTCTGTTTCTCACGTTGGTCTGAGGCAAGGGTTCAGGCCAAAGGCTTGTGCACATTGAGCCGCCCTGCCAGGCATGAAGGACAGGTAAATACAATTCTATTTATCTTGCCCAAAGGACCCAGAAATGAAAGGTTAGCCTTTTGGGGCCATGACTAAACCTAGACGAAACAGAAGAAACCAAAAGGTTAAAAGGTCAAAAGGTCGGCTTTGGGCAACTGAGAATTGCAATCTAAGGGTTTTTTGTATTACACCCTGGGAATACATCCACTGGGTATTGACCCCATTTAGGCACATGTCCGGATAAAAAACCGTGTTATTTTGAACAATTCTGGGTCGTTTCCCAAGGGTGTAATCCCCAGCATGTAATACAAAAACCCTCAAATGCAAGGTGTCGGAGCAAACCTGCTGATCTGGATGCTCATTTTAATGTAAGTTGCATGAGTCTGGCTGACGCCTTGGCTTCCATATCTAATCCTTCTGATTCCACAAATGGGCACCAGCCCTGGCAAAACCACCGGTTGGTCTTTCAAAAATGAACTAGGATGTCAATGATGCTAAACTAAACATACAACCCACGGAGTTTATGTTCCTCTTGTAAATTTAGCATGTTCTACAGGACCTCAAATGCCAAATGCGCCATTGAATCTCTCCAAGGACATACACCAAATATGCGGTCATAAAGCCTGCGCTTCAAATGAAAGAGCTCAACGAAGGTAGCTGGGCGGCTGGCCAAAACACGCAAGATCACAGCCGTGGCCGATATGGTTGCGACGCCATATCAAAAGGGCAGCCTGGACAGCACCTAAGATTCTTGGAAAGTTGCGCATCATAAAGTATCATGTGAAATATCATCTGGTACAGCAGGCCATTCGTAATCATTGCTGACCATTTGCAGAAAGCAACCAACACTTCACAAGCTAAAACATGCAGAGAGCGACGCGGCGAGAACGTGCATTTCAAAAGCTGGAATTCTATCTGCATGGGTATATGACCTGAAATATAAATCAACATGTATGTGCAAGTATGTAGATTTGCTTTGGCAAATAGCCTCAGTGGCTATTAGAAGATCTCCCCCACAAACCACCAGATCAAACACCAAACCTGAACTGTGACACTTGAGGTCCTAGTTGTGCTTGATCACATATTTACCCCTCTGTTTTACGGTCTGAGCCTAGTCCTCTCGGGACAAAAAAACAATCTCCGGACTGGCAGACCTTTTTGGCTCCTGGCCACATGCGGTTCACTGCCCTTCAGCCAAGAAAGGCTTTTTTGCCTTTTGGCCCTTTGGCGAACAGTGGCTTGCCCGAAGGACCATCGGAAATGCTACAGGTTCACCTTTTGAGGGCCCAAAAGCTGATCATTCACTTCTTGAGTGGATTGACCAGAAAAAGTCTGAACTCTTTGGTATCCCCTAGACTGGACCGCCCTCAGATCCCCCGCTAAAAGTTTAACTTTCAGTGGAGTAACTGGAAACTACCACTTAACTACCACTACCGCTAAGGGGATGGCTGGGAGCCGCCAAGTAGAATGGTCTTCCCAACAAGCTTCTATATACTCCAACTCAGGAAGTGAGACAACTGATTTCAAACTTTCGCCCAGGGCCCCCAGGCTCCTGTAGCTCGCTCGTGGTTCAGGCAACAGGGTTCCCTTTTCCCCAAAGTGGGGGGGGGGTCCATGCGCGGGCAATTAAAAAAAGTGCCGAGCGCCGTTGGGCGTCTCAACACCTCGTTGCCAAAGCTGCAGCCATTCGAGAGATTGGTCAATGCCTTGGTTTGCGACCTGCGAGCTTGGAAAGCACGTCGCCTTCCTTTGCTGGTCAGTCCATTTCGGGTTTCTCGTGCTAAATGCTGAAAGCACAAATGTATATATATATATATACATATACCTACCCACTGTATATATATATACATATTTATTTTTATTATTATTATTATTATTATTATTATTATTATTATTGTTATTATTGTTATTATTGTTATTATTGTTATTATTATTATTATTATTATTATTATTATTATTATTATTATTATTATTATTATTATTATTATTATTATTATTATTATTATTATTATTATTATTATTATAATATATATATATATACATGTGTAGGGAAATCGTTGGATGAAACGATAGCTGTTCTTCAGGTTCCATCTATGAGACAAATCTCTAGATCAGGGTGCCCAAAGTCCCAAACTGACCCTGGCTACTCACTGGCTCAAAGTGGAGACTTACCTTCTGACACTGGGACTTTTCGGGAGGTAAGCAGATTCTCAGGAACATTGCATAACACCCTGTTGAACATCATTGCAGTTTGGTGTCCGACCATAAGGGCTCCATGGATGCAAACACGTTAGCTGTTTTTTGGGTTGCAGCCGCCACCAAAACACACCAACACTCAAACTTGCACCGAAACGATCGCTTTCGAACATGTATGTACTTGATCGAGGCAACGAACCCTGCCTTGACTTGGATAATGTGTTTTCTCCTGGGTTAGCAATTCTAGTTCGGTCAAAACAACAATCAAGAAGTGTTCATGGCATTTGAGAGAAAGTTGAAGAGGCAGGACGAAGATCTGCACAACTTTCTGATTGAGTTCCCAACCCTCCAACTGTTCGGGCTTGATTGGTGCTTGCTTGCTGGACGCGCTGGGGGTATTCACTTGATTACGAGCCTTCCACAGTGGCCATACCATTTCAAACAGTTGTTGTTCGACCAGCAGCTTCGGTCCTCTGCAGATTGCAGGTGCGTAATTTGATAAAACAAACAAGCAGGGAACGGGGATGAGTGAACGGGTGAACCATCTCCTTGGCGTCTCCAAGGGTTGCGCCAGAGGTCCGGGCACATAGAGAATGGGTTCCAAAGGGAAACGGCGATAAAAACCGCTAAGAATTTCTTGCCATCTGGCGGTTTTGATCGAGGAACGGCCGGCCAAAGGAGCAACCCTAGAATTTCGACCCATCCCCGAGTTGCCCTGCGCAGAGCGTCCAGTCGCTCAGCATTCCTTTCCGCCGACAAGGGTTGGAGGCTTAGCTGTGAAGCATGCTTTTTGTTTAGAAATTGGAGCGTCTCAAATATGGGTCTGCATGTAAATAGGGGACCCTTTGGTGTGAATCGTTTAGGTGGGGATTTATGTCCACCACTTTTGAGGTGGGAACCTCAAACGCAGGGCTGTCTCCTTTTGGTGTTCGCTTCAACCCAACCAAACAGGGGGGGGTGCTCCTCACAAGGGAGCCAGGCTGAATCTTGTTTCGGGCAAAGGAGATTTACTAAGCCATAAGGGGAGAAGGCAGTTTCAGGATTTGTTGCTGACGGGCGCAAGATGATTGTGCCTCGGGATCTTACGTGGCTTGAAACATGGCAACACAAACTACACTCAAGTACTACCCAACCTGCGACTGGAACCCATGCAAGTTGAGCGATGCTGGCCGCTACTTGAAGGAATGCTATCGATGGTGCCCACAGGAGCTACCTAAAAGAAGCAACATCTTACCAACATAATGCGCCCATTCCATATTATTGCTCTGTTGTGTGAGACCTGGGTAGAATCCACAATCACTTCTCGCTGGCTGCTCACTGGTCTGGTGAAATGAGGCGTGGATGGGCTAAGCACAGCTCGAGGGCACTCGTGGAAAGCAACATCGCACGCCTAAACGGGACCACGCACAAACAGAACAGGACTCTTGTTTGATCAACCCGGGTTGTCTCAACATGAGGCATTCCCCAGAAAGGCTCCGTTTGGTTTCCCGTGAAACCAACCCTAACAAGAAGGGTATCCTCACCTTCCATTTGCTTAAGCCCCCTGGAAGAAATAACACATGTGTCCAGTAGTGATAGATTCCCTTTAAAACCGGCAAGGCAAAAAAAACACATATTCTTAAACCGGCAAATAAGCACATGGTTGTCACCAAAAGCCCAGCACCCTCTTAAGGGGCTCCCTGAAACTCTCCAGCCTCCGGGCTCAGGAGGCCAAGCGTCGCAGCGTCACGCCCTTGCATCCACCTGGGCACCAAACAAAGCGGGCCCCGCCCAAGTGCCCGGAATCAAGCCAAGAAAAGCGCAAGTCAACAAGTGGACCGGCCAAAAAAAAGAGCCAAACTCGTTGTTTTCCACTACATGCTCTTCCCACAAGTGTCAAGTCAGGAACCCAAGTGAGATAATGTCGAACCCAAGGTAGACCTTGTGGACAGAAAGGAAGGGGACCACCCAGGAGGTGCCCTTTGTAGGAAAGACTGGGCTGGACGCCTGGGGCAAATGAACCCATTGCTCGGCGACCGCACGGTGACAAGTTGAGAATAGTCTTTGGACCCCTTCGGTCTCTCTCGGTCCTGTTTGACATTGGTTTAATTGACATTGGTTTAGTACTGCTTAGTACTGGTTCGTGTTGATTTGGTATTGAATTTGTTTTGGTTTAGTCAGTACTGGCTTACATTTAATACTGGTTTAGAATTGCTAAGCACTGGGTAGTGCTGGGATAGAATTGGTGTAGTGTAGGCTGTTTAGATTTGGTTTATTATTGCTCAGCACTGCTTTAGCGGAGCCTCTTGGGAAGCAAAGACTCGAAACGGAAACGTAGTATTTGCAGCTTCCTAGTGTGCTTGACACAGGAGAAGTCATTGAGATGGTGCTTAAACAGTGCCCACTAAAGATTGTCGGCTACACTGGCTACACGCTTTGAATGAATGCTTGCCCTGCGGGGTTGGCGAGACTGATGTCAAGAAACTTGATGAGTGTGGCCCAGATCCGAAGATGGCGCCCAAACAGTCGGATGTCGCCTGTAAGTCGAAAGACATTGGAGATGGTGCCTGTCCCAACCACCAACCCAATGCCCCCGAGCCTGCAAGTCAATTCCTAGCACCCCTTGACTATGAATCCGAGGTAAGAAATGCAGCAGTCGTACTCCCAGCCTGGAATTCGCCAACAGACTTTCTCGTGGCTTGATTCAGGTAAGCCTTTTGAACCCTGTTCAAACATGTATGCCGTTCGCGGATGCTTTTCATCAGATGTCGCCTCGGCGTGGATGCGCCCTTGTGATACGTGTGAGCGCCAAACGGCGCGAACTGAATGTGCTGGTCTGAAGAAAGGAATCGAACCCCCAAAAAGGGTGATGTCAATGCTTTCGGCCTTCCTGAAACCCACAAAAAACTCAGTACCCTCCAAAAAGAACACACCCTTTGTGTTATAAGCAAGCTGGGGAGGCTATCTGGCGCTCGCAGGGGATTTCGCCTTGGGCATAACTCCTGGAAGGTCTCGCTACCCCAGACTATTTCCGTACGGTTTTTGCTCGGAATTCGAATTCGCAAGCCATTGAAAGGGGGATTCCCTCTAAACCTAAACCTTTAGGGCTGAGGGCTTCGGGTTTTCGGGCTTCCTCTCTTGACGCCATAAGGGGGATTCCGGTCTAAGCCGAAGTGTACAACAAACTCTCTTGGCCTTTGCACGGCCTATCAGCTGGGGTCTGTACTTGGCTTCTGTTCTACATCATCCCAAAGGCCCCTTCAATCTGTTAGAAACAAGTGGCGTCTGCATTCATCTTACAAAAGGTGATCGACCTTTGGCTGAGGGAGAAAAAGCCAGTGTAACTAGGTCTTCCAGTAGAGAGGTTAGAATATTGGTACCCTTTTTTCTGTTCTCTATTTTAGTAAGGGACCCCCCCCCACAAAAGACGAGAGAAGGGCACCTAGCTGGGGGACCCAGCGTAAAGGTCCCTGGCAAAACCCGTCACCTACTGCGCTCCCCGGCGAAGTCTTCGGACAATGAGTCGTCGAGGGGACTCATCTCGAAGATCGCGGAGTCTGTAGACTTGCTCGCCTGGCCCAGCAAATAAGCAGCCTTGGACCTGTAAAATGGGAAACTTGGATTCTGGTCCATGTCAAAACAGGAAGCTGCAACCTTCCATTTGGTTAAGACCCCTGGAAAAAGTAAAAATATTTCCAGTAGTGATAAATTCCTTTTAAAACCAACAAGGGGGAACAAAAACATCTTAAGCAAATGGAAGCAACCTAATTGCCTTCAATCTTCCTGAACCGCCCTCCGCTCCATGCCGGGGCTTCTGTGCGGAGATGTAAAAAAGGATCCTCAAGCAGGAAATGGCTGTGGGTCACAACCAATGGTACCATTTTGGGGTAGGTGCACCACCCATGTTAGTCTACTTTAGTGGGGATTGGGATGTTCACTGGGGGAATGGGATTTTGACCCATGGCCAAATGTTCATGAGTGGAGCACTTGCTTGGCCCTTGTTTACCCAAAGCCAGGATTGCTCATGGTTAGCTTTGCACCTTTCACAAGATGGTACCACAATTTCCGGTTCCATGTCGACCTATGTTTTGCAATTCATACACCGAAAACAAGAACCCGCGCAAGTAACAAACCACAGATGAGATCGGTCCCCAAGCTCCTTTGTGAGGTCAAGAAGCCCCACAGGGCCGCCGGAAGGGAGCCTGAACATAGGTGTCCTTTTAGGGGAAATAGATGGATTCCCTGGTAGATGATTCAACCACCAGGTAGACCAGGGCCATCTATTTTTCTAGCACTATGAGCCTGAAGCTCTCGAAGACTGACTCCAGGTTCTGAAATCCGGAAAGCGCCCTTCGTGCGTTCGTCGCGATCGGGGTTCCCATTCACACACACACACACCATGCAAAGTACCCTAGACTTGCTCAAACGGAAATGCCGGAAGCCGCCACACGACCCGACGCCATAAAGCGAACTGCCAGCGTGCTTTCCTTTTTATGTTGCAACCTTCCATAGTGTGGCATGAATCAACCAGCTCGGGCAGATGGCAGTGGTCGAGCCGTTGCTGTAGGCTGCTGATAAGACCTCCCGCCTCCTGCAACGTGGACCAATATGTACAATTTACATGTTTAGTCCGATGCAAATGTAGTGACGATGATCAATGCAACAACTTTGTCCGTTTGAGGCCCATCGATGATATTGTGATTCTTGTACAGGATACCTGGACCTAGGAAGCCAATTAATCGGATCGCATGAACATTTACTATAATTGCAAAAGCTGAATTAAGGGATCCCCAAGTAAAGAGCCTTTATCATGGCGAGCTCGTTACCCTCCCACTGACTAACATGGAAACACACAGACCCCTGAAAGACGACTTTCCTCTTGGAAAGGGGCTCTGTGCAAGCTATAAATAAGGCCTTATTTAGGGCTTATTTGGTCTCCCTCCCCCACTCCCTTCGCCCCAGCCCCCATGAAATGCGCTTTGGTTGGCAAATCCTCACAAAAGGACCCCCGGCTTTGTCTCTAAGGCACCATACAAAGAGGGTCCCCACAAGAAATTTATTGTGGGGACCCTTTTTGTATGGTGCCTTAATCTTTTCATTAAACCCCCTCAAAAACAAAAACACAGCTGGTGAATTCCACCAAAGAGCGAATCCCCGCTTGGACTGCACACTGCCTGAAACAAAACCATCCCTTGCGCCGTTCATCTCCCCACCTCAATTTGGCTCTCCGGCACCTGAGGGTCGGAGAAGGGCAAAAACTCCTCTGGCAAAATTCAGCTTTTCGGATCATGGCAGCCCCAAATCACAATGACCACTGGTTCAGTAACGCAGTGTCCGGCTTAAGATGGGGGATCCTTCGCTTTGGAAGCACTCGAAGATTGGCCAAGGGAGCCCGCCTTTTGCCCTCTTTGAGTAATCGAATGACAAGCGCAAAAAATGAAGCTGACCAAAATTATATGTGATATCAGAAATTAAATGTATCACCTGCCCATTCTGACTAAATCAGCCTCCAACTTTGGTTGGGCAACCCGCCCCCAATGGGTGATTTCCGTCTGAATGCCCGGAAAACACATCGCCCACAAACAAAATGTCCACCATTGCCTGATGTTCAGACAAACCTGGCAACAGGAAAGTTGCTCTATGACCCGAGAAAGGGAACCAGGTATGTTTGGGTATGTTTCGCGGGGGAAGCCACCAAAGGCTTCAACAAATTGGTGCCGAACAACAAGGGCAGATTTCAATGGGAGGCTTCTGCATCCCCTTCCAATCACAACAAAAGCACCGCCTGAGACTGACTTGGACTGGTCAGAAGTCCGTACGTGCTAGCCTCTAAAATGACATTCCCAAGTGCAAAGTCTAGGAACTAAAAACTAAGGGACCTCACCCAAACCTGCGCTCACACTGAGGATCCCGAATCCTACTCCGCAATGCGCGGGACACATGGGAAGCAGCTACCCTCCCTCAGGTTCCATGGAAGCTCGGACCATTTGGGAGGACCCTCCTCTGTAAGAGGGAGGATACCATTCGGCATAGTGTTGACCGTATATTAATCAACCCCTGCTTATTAATAGGGCCTCCAAAAGGATGATTCCCCACTAAACCCAGGCACACCTCCCTATTAATACACTGGGGTTGCCTAATATGGGGTCAACATTCAAGGGTGATATATCCCGTTTCCCAACCGATGCCTGGCTGATGTCCACCTGGAAGCCGGACAAAAAAGCTGGTGTGGGGTTCGAACCCATTCCCTTGTTTGGAGACAAAGATGAATTGGATTTTTTGTTGGCCACCTGAGGCTATGGTAGGAAGGGTGGCACCGAACTGGTCTTTGCTGAAAGCACCAAACATGGGCTAGCTTTAATTTCCCAAGTTGACCAAAGGTCCAAAGCTCAGGTCGATGAGCCCAAGGTAGGGGAAAACCACCCCTCAAAACTCAAACTTCAGACTCTGGCCTCTAATCGTACCGTATATGTCACCTTCAAATTGTGCAAGAAACAACCAAACAAGTGTGTGTCAGCCTCTCTTTGGACTGGGCTATTCACCTAGCCCAACGAATATATCAGTTGGTGTGAGTCGGAGTGGCCCGAAGAAGATACTTCAAAAGTCGCATACTCGTCTTCGCCCACATGTGGGGGGAGCACAAAGTAGTATGTTCTGATTCTATGTCATATTTGCTTAGTTTACAAACGCCTGAAGCTTGTTTTTTTTTTTGCTGGCGACCCCAGTCATGCTTGAAAACCATGGCAACTCTGGTTGGCTTCCCAAACCTAGGATCTGTTCAACACCCCAAGACGCCGATAAAACAAAAAAAAAAACGAACACGCGGTTGATATGACTTTAAGCTACTTGATCTCTTCGATTTTTTCAGCGGCGTTGTTCCTTGGGACGTGGGTGAGGTTCGCCGGCCGATACGGGCACTCAGGTGCTTGGTACCCTGCTTATGACTCACCAAACAAGGACTTACAACTGGGTTGTAACCATGCTTAATGAATCATCCACTTAGGCGGGTACCCGAATAATCAAAGAGTGCCAAAACGAAACAGGTTTCTCGAAATGATTGAGCGCCCCGGAAAAGAAACCGGTACTCAATACGTACAAGAAATACTCAACCAATACCAAACCAATACTCGACCAGCGGAAGCACCAAGAAGTACTGAACCAATACTAATTCAAAACTAAGCCAATAGACTACTACTTGCTTGAGGGGGAAAAATCTGACACGTGATCTCAAATTGTTTTAGGGGCAGAGCCCTCTTTAATCACTCACTCAGCAAACTTGCCCAAGAAACCCAGTGAACAATTGAAATGGATCGTTTCCATTTGGTTTCCCTTTTCAACCACCCAAACACGGCTTCCCCATATTAGCCTCTCAGCCACGGGTTGAGACAACTTCCTGAGATCTTCCGGTGTGTTCCATGTGAGTTGGAATCACGGACCCCTGGGGGGGGGGGCTATCGCTGGATAAGCCTAGGATAAGCCAGGGATGAGCCCGTAATACGGCATGAAGGGTTTGATGAGGGATATCCCCCTCCCCATAGCCAAAGCCCTTCTTAGGGTTCCATGATGGAAGCCTGGCACGCAGCTGACACCAACCAACTTCCTTCTGCACACAGGCGTGATCTTTCAAGGCTCGCTACCCCCAGCTTTGGTTCAAAGGAAAACCAAAAAAACACCCCCATTCTTAGGGTTCCCAATCCACAGTATCTCGTCTGAGGCTCCCGGCGCATGTGGGGCTTGTCCCCGGTGAAACCGGGACCAGCTGTTCTAAGTGTGCGGGGATTTGTCCGCCATGGGTGGGGGGGAGGGAGTGGGGAATACCTGGTTCGGGCCGTTGTTTGGCATTTGTCTTGTATTTCACCAACCAAATACAAGGGACTTATAGGTAAGGAGACTTCTTCATGGGCGACAAAATTGGCCGAGACGAAGGGATTTCGAAGCTTGGTCCCCGGTAGAAGGAAACGAATGAAGGAAACTTTGGAAACCAAACCAAATTTCTACCTTTGTGTTCTGGTCTGCACCCACATCCAATAATCATGGAAGTTGAAAAAAAAACCTGTGATGCGAGGGGGCTCCCAACAGCCATTGAAGAGAGACTGTTCCCAGGGAGAGTTCACTTCGACAACTGGTTTACCTGTGGCTGTGATTCGCCGTTGAGAAAATGGGACCCGCAAACTCGGTGGCTATAGCGACCTCAAAGATTTCCCATGTTCCAAGACTGTTGATCAATTATTTGTGTTGACATGTTGCACTTCTGAAGAATCGCAGTTGTATCATGGGGGCGAGCCTATGAAACAACGTGAGCGAATCAAACCTACTTTTGGTCTGCTCCCAGCTGGAGCCTCGGGACGCGTCGGTTCGAGGGAAACCGAAGGAAAGCAGAGCGATGGATCTGCCGTGGGATCTCCAGCTCAAAAAACCTTGGGCTGCCCTCAGATCCCCAGCTAACAAATCAACTTTTAGTGGGTTAAAGGGAAACTACCACTAAACGCCATCAGGCTACCAAGTAACCGGATGGCTGGGAGCCACCAGGCTTTCAGGAAGCCAAGGTTTCGAGGCTAGGCATCGAGATTCATCAGGCTCAGGGCAACCGGGGCATAGCCCATGCTCAGCTGCCGACTCATGACCCTCTTCAAGTAGTAGCCCGGCATGGGAATGGCAGCCCCCTGGCGCTTGCAGGAGTCCCTTTCTACATGGGATGACCATCGGGGAAACCGCCAAACAAATGCTAGTCCCGCTACATGGACAACATCAACCCATGGTCATGTTAGGGCCAGGAATATTGATCAATGCCCACCATCACGTCGTGGACAACAGTCTGCAACAGTTGTTAAGTCGCTCCCAGTAAGGGTTGGGCGATTCCAACTGGTGCAGGAGTCCTCCAACGACATCACTTGAAAAGAGAACCAGGCCTTGCATCGCCCAACTGTGGATGCGAGTCTGCTTGGAACCCTGCCTTCAGTCCCATCCCAGTGCACAATATAGCTTCCTTAGCTTCCTAGCTTCCTGCAAATGTTCACCCCGATTGATCTGCCAGGCGAATTATTTGCTGGGTGTTTGCCCCCCAAAGTGCCCGATCCGTCGTTAAACCCACTACACAAAACGGGAAAAGGGGTGCTCCGGAAATTGAGGTCGGATTGAAATCCAGTGGCGAAGCCGAAAAAAGGATCACACCCGTTACATGCCTCGCCCTTCTTCTCAGCCATGACCCTCTCCAGTCCAAAATTCTTTCTTTTGTGTACTGTCACCGTTGCCCGATCTGGTCGTTCTGGGGCACAATGGACCATAACTGATACCTGGATCTTCTGAGGGTACGTGAATTCTGTCGTTTGGCCAAACTGCAGAAAATGTTGCCGTTTCAATTAATTTCAGCCGTTTCAATCAACACTTGCCGTTTTGCGAATTTCCTGCCGTTTCGTTCAATGTTGACAAAGCTGTGTATCGTCATTGCCACAATTTAGTGCGGACAAATGCGCCTGGAGGTGTGTGAAGGGTATGGCGAGTGCCCAGGTTGCAAAGTTGCTTAAAAGCTTCGGATAGCAGGATAAATCCTGCTACTGCCGCGCATCCCTGAGCAAAGCCAGTAGCGTTGTTCAAGCACGTGCGCAAGATTTGGGTCTGAGCATACTGTCCTTCGTATCTGTCAATGGTGGCGCTCAAGAGCCCCGAAGATTCTGGAACCAACATTGTGAGAATTCCAGACTGCGTGCGCAAAGCAACTCTGCAGCACATGCAACTGTTCGTTGCAAGTTGACGTGTCAAGCAGTGCTCACCCAGGAGGACATGCGAGACCTGTAGCTTAAGCTCCTCACTCCTTTTTTTTCGAGTCGCAGTCACCCCTCGCACCTTCTCAGCACAGCGCGCCACCAACACGAATTACATCACCGCTTAAGTATTGGTTTCAGACAGTGCCAACATCAGCAAGTTTAATTGAATTTAATATGTTGTGGCTGCTTACTCATATATTCTTGTCACAAATGACTGCAGCCAGAATGATGACCGACAGTCATTTCCGAGGACAGCCCGTGCAACAGCTTGCTTCCTGGCAAAGCCCATGTGATAGAGCAGCGTGTGAAGTGAACCGGCAAGCGCTATGAATGTGGTTCGCTAAAAATCGCCGTTTGGCCGCAAATTATCGCCGTTTGGCCGCAAATGATCGCCGCTTTGTTTCTGCAAATTTGGACACAGTTGCCTGAATCTTTCCAAGGCGACACAACTCGGGGTCTTTCCTTCTAGGGCTGCGATGGCAAGCCCCGTTGCAAGTTCACAAACTGACGCTTCCCAGGTGTGCGCAGCAGTAAACAAAGCCATCCATCAGCAATATACGGCAACTGCTGAAGTAGCAACTTACATGTTTATGTGTTGGCGTGGTTCCCTCATATTTCCTTGTTTCGCACGCTTCCAACCTTCTTAGGCTTGCATGCAAACCAGCCTAAAGCGGATTGGCCTTCCATCCTATTGTGCCGATAACCACTATGCAAGACTTGCCATTCTGACGTTAGGAAGCCATTTCAAGCTAAACATGCGCCAAGTTTTAGTCGCAAATGGTCTCAACAACTCAGCACAAAACACTTGACATTGTGTGATTCGTGAGGCCATTAGAGATCTTACCACTCCGACTGTGAGTGTTGCTTGAAATGGCTATAACCTTCGCCGCGCAGCAGCAGTAAAACCAGTTCATGCCCCAGTCCTGCGCCTGCAACAAGTGGTTGGATGCTGTTTGCTGGACCTCCAATACTCAAGAGGCGTGATAAAGAAACAAATATATCACTGCGGCGATAGTGCTGCGAAGTCAAGTGCATCACATTCGACCAGAACCAGCATACTGGCATGAGTTTCAAGCGCCACCTGACCTCGAATATGCACCCTGATGCTGAAAAGAGGAAAAGCGCAGTTTGCATCAAAATGTGCCGTCTCAACTTAAAACATGGTTGTGCCCGAAACTGCTGAAATTATGCCCCACTTGGAAGATACAGGTATACATGCTCATCTTGGGCAAGCATCGGTTCACTGCTCGAGGTTTCTGAGCATTTGTTGGGCAAAATGCTGAGTTGATCTTGGGTGGCTTTCCTTTGGATATGCCTTTCAACCAAGCTGAAATGGGCGCACTAAAAAGCGACACACACACACACAGACACACACACACACACTAAAAAAGGGCAGAGACCTGATTGCAAAGGGCCTGTCTCAAAACAGATTGAAATTGTCCAACTCGTATGGCTTCGCCTGGCTTTGATTTGAGAACCAACATTGGGGGGGGTCGTTGTTCAAACAGACTCACTTCCAGACCCTGCTTGATGATTGCCCTGCGGGGAATCATGGTCCGATTAGCCACAAGTTGGGTTCATTAATCCTATGTTTGCCAAGCCCGGCCAAGCCTCCCTTTTGGGGTTTCTCAAATTAAAACATGGAAAAACAACGCGCCACATTCCTAAAAAACCGTCTAAGAGCGCCTAATAGAGCTGAACACGCCTGTTAGGGAAGCCGTCTGGCGGGAGTTCACTGGCGGCCTTGCTGTCTCAGTGCCACGCCAAACTCTCATCTTATCGCCGAAAACGGCTCCCCCAAATCTCCCGTGGATGTTCCTAGAACAAACAAGGGCACCCTTCTTTTGATCGGACGGCGCCCGCAAAAACACGCATATGTTTTTGCAACATAGGTCAACTGGTATTTTATACTCCGGAGCAAAGCAGTTCAACCCGAAGCCCCAAATACAAGCACGATAAGAAGAATCATAATAATCCGCCGACCCTCTGCCTCCCGTCCCAGCCTCCTGCAAAGGGGACTGGCGTGACTGGAATGAAGTGATCAAACCGGTCCGGGACCGGGACCAGGTTCGGTGCCAGGACCGTCCCAGGTCCGGTTCGGACTCTGCCCTGATCCCACCTCAAACCGCTCCAGACACCTGTTTCCTCCAATGTCGCTGTTTCCGGACTGGCACCGGACAGGGTCTCGGGCACCGACGGCCTTGTTTCTATCCCGGGCCAACTCGACGTGACTTGGGCGCAAACCGGCCCGTGTGCCATCTTTCTGACTTTTCCGTTACTCCTTGTGGTAACTTGTGGTAGTAGAGGATCCCTGGATCTATTCTGCAAGAAAGTCCAATACCGTCGATTCAAACCGGGACCCAAGTCCCGTCTCTGCCGGCGACCGGTCCAGGGCAACTGTTTCAGGGGCAGCTTCGGGAGGGCCAGCTTCAGGAGGGAGAGGCGACCGCTCCCGGGCCAACTCGAAGTGACTTGGGCGCGAGCCGGCCCAAGCGGTAATTAACGGACTAGCTGCCATCTTTCTGACTTTTCCGTTAATCCTTGTTTGTGGTCGTAGAGGATAATCTGGCCGGCCAACTGGCCGAACGGCTGTGTCAGATTACCCCCTTGGTCCTTTGGAGCAAGGCTCTAGAGCGAAGCTCTATGGGGCTGCCGCATGGTGCCGCCGACCCTGTGCATGATGAAAAGGAAAGTGATGAGCATCACCGGCATCATCTGCTTCTGGCGGGTGTGTTTTTGGGCTTGTTTTTGGGTCTGCAGCCTTGGGCTTGCAAGTCTGCCGTCTTGCCCCGGTGATGCGGGTGATGCTGGTGATGCTGGGGATGTTGCTGGGAGCTGCCTTCCACGCGGCGTCCTGCTGCAGCCTTGAAACACCGGAAAAACACGTGAAAATCCAGGGCTTTTACTGCAAAAACCAAGGAAAACGTTTGGTTGTGACATGCGTTTTGCGTGGCAACTGGCCCAGGCGTGCGTGCATGCGTGCGTGCTTGCGCGCATGCTTGCGTGCATGCGTGCGTGCGTGCGTGCGTGGGTGCGTGGGTGGGTGGGTGGGTGGGTGGGTGGGTGGGTGGGTGGGTGGGTGGGTGCGTGTGTGTGGGGTGCTTGCGTGACGTGTGCGTGCGTGCGTGCGTGCGTGCGTGCGTGCGTGCGTGCGTGCGTGCGTGCGTGCGTGCGTGCGTGCGTGCGTGCGTGCGTGCGTGCGTGCGCGTGCGTGCGTGCGTGCGTGCGTGCGTGCGTGCGGGCGTGCGGGCGTGCGTGCGTGCGTGCGTGCGTGCGTGCGGCGTGCGCGTGCGTGCGTGCGTGCGGGCGTGCGGGCGTGCGGGCGTGCGTGCGTGCGCGGCGCGGGCGTGCGGGCGTGCGTGCGTGCGTGCGTGCGTGTGCGTGTGTGTGTGTGTGTGTGTGTGTGTGTGTGTGTGTGTGTGTGTGTGTGTGTGTGTGTGTGGGGGGGTGGGTGCGTGGGTGCGTGAGTGCGTGCGTGGGTGGGTGGGTGTGTGTTGTGCGTGAGTCTGGTGTGTGTGCCTGTGTGTGGGTGCGCGCGTGGGTGGGTGTGCGTGCGTGAGCGCGCGTGCGTGCCCGCGTGTGTGCTTGTGCGCGCGTGCCTGCGTGCGTGCGGGCGGGCGGGCGGTGAAGGGAAATGGATAGAAAATAGATGGGAAATGTGGAAGATGGATGGACAACTGAGGGAAGATGTTTGGAAAATGGATGTGTGTATGTGTGCAAGTAAGGAAATGTATGTATGTTTATGTTGTTGTTGTCGCTGCTGCCTGCTTAGCTGTCCGTGCAGGAGCTGTGAGGTTGAGTCTCGCGATGCTGCCGCGGCCTGTTGCGCGCCAGCAACGTAAATCCGGCTACGCCTCCTGGGGTAGCATGTCGCCGCTAGACAATAAGCCTGCTTTAGCTATAGGGGCTGCACCCTGGTGCCGCCGACCCTCGTCACTCAGTCGTGAGGCGTGGCCTAAATCTTTAGGCCATGTGGTTGACATCGTCAGGGTCTGGGGTTGGGCCTGGGTGGTGCTTCAGCGGGGCTTGGTCTGCATCATCAAGACTTCCTTCCAAAAAGCCTCTCAACCCACAAAGCACTGTTTTTTAGAAGGTATCGGAGGGATATAAGCAAGGCTCATTTTCGCGCATTTTGGCGCCAAGCGCTGCTGGGCATGCCGGCGATGCTGGGTCCTCGCTCTACAAAACGCTGTAAATACCGTCAAAAACTGCTGTGCTGAGCGGTGGGCTGTTGTTCTGTCCGCTTTACTTTTGCTGTGGCTGGCTCGCGTGCTGCGCGGTCCTTGCTTTTTTCGCGTTGGTTTTCGGGCCTTCTGGCGCGCGCGACCCCAGCCACAAAATGCTGCTATTTACGGTGTTTTGTTGCTTTTGCGTTTCCGGGCTGGCTTGCGGGCTGCTCTTTTTGGGCTGCTGTTTCTGCGGCCTCTGGTGCGCGCGCGCGCGACCCCATGTCAGCCTTCTGGTTTGGGTCCCGGCTAGGGCCCAGAAAGCTGGCATCCCCGGCATCATCTGGGGTTGGGGTGGGCAACATGCATAACCTAACCAGCCATGTCATAGCACAGGATACGTTTCTCATACAAAAAACATGACATGACATGGTATAACTTCAAAGAGGCGTAGCCGGCTAGAGGCCGCAGGCCCAGAAAATACATTCTCGGCCCGCCCTCCTATGTCTATTTGCGGGCATCATGGTTCGATCCCCCCAGCACAAGAAGTCGAAATGGGCCCTTTTGGAGGGCATTCCTGCCCCCCGGCGCCTCAGAGAAGTCTCGTCTGGCGGGCAAAAGGTCAAAGGCGGTCTGGGCATAGAACAGGTCCGACAGCTCCTGGTCATCCTCCTGGACAAAACCAAGCATGTGGAGGGGTCACTGGTAGAAATTAGCAGCCAAAGAGGGGGGTCCCCCCCAGGCTTGCCAAAGCAGCCACGGTCAACACATCGTTTCAATTTGGAAAGGGTTCTCAAAATAGGAAAACCCTCAAAATGGTTGGTTTCCTTTTGGTTTCCCTTCAAAACCAGCCTGAAAGGGCACCCTGCAAAGACAGACAGGACCCAAGTGATCCATGGACTGCCTTATGACTGGACCCATGGCCGTGCTTTTGAACTCGCATGCCTTCTCCACACTACTCTTGGTGCATGTGTCGGCTTGCATATCTCACATCTGCACTGCCAACTTAACAGGGTTCCTCCTTTGGGTGTGCTTTGTTTAGTGAGGACCCTTTGGTGGACAATATCTACATGGGAATTTAGCGACCATGGGTGTTCCCCACTTAAAAAGTCGCTCTGAGATCCGCAGGTAGATGTGGGGGTTCCGTTTGGAAGGTTCTTTACATGGGACGATTGGGCAACACCACAAGCTTCCCACAAATGGAGAAAAAAATGACCATTTTCATTTGGGGGGCAGGAATATTGATCAACCCCCTTGTGAGAATCACTTCTGTGATACCAGGCCGCGCGATTCCCTTGTACTGTTGCCCGTTAGGAAAGTGGACACATGTCGAAACACCTTGGTAGCTTCATGCATGACGGATCAGGGCTGTGGGAAATGGAATCCACTTCTGTGATACAACAGAAAGGGCCTAACCCCAAGGACTAACCCCATCTAACCCCCCAAATAAACGGGGAGATTCCCTTGTATCACAGAAGTGGTTGGATAAACCCCGAATGATCCCACAACCCTGCGACAAATAGCTCAGGTCGTTCTGACACAACCCCTCTTCGAGCTTCCGGGTCAGGCAAACATGGTCCCAATCGGGTTTCAAAAGGAGGCTCTTGAAACAATGCTGGGGTCACCTCCAAAATCATGTCCTATTTCAGAGTTGACAAAGTATGAAGCAGAATCTACACATACTGTGGCCCACCGTATGTCCTTTCTTTGAATTCCAGATGTGGGCCAAGAACAGGCGTCAAAGCCATAATTTTGCGCAAGTGGCCTAACCCTGTGGAACAAGTGGCCAAACCCTGTGGACCCCCTACCCCCCCTGTTTGGGGGTTGGGCTTCGCCTCCATTCGTGTCTCAAATTCCCGAACGCCAACTTGTTTTTTGGCTAAAGGCTACCCCAGGAAAAAGTTCCATTGGCTGTTTCAGAAGAGGTTCGACTGCTAGGAAAAATAGGACGCCATGTCTAATATATACGCATAGATATATAATGTAAGCCATTTGGTTTCCCTTCTAACCACTTTCGTCCACCCGTCCTCAGTCTCCGTAAAGTTGCCGGCCAGATCATTCATGGCATGCACAAACTCGTCCGCATATATCCTAAGCACTTGGCACAGTCGTCGCAAACGAGTCCTGCTCCTGTCCATATGAATATGGGAATCCATGTTGGACCCGAAAAAGTGTGGTTTCGCATAAGCCACAACCAACGGTTAATTTACCAATAAACTCGGGTTCCATACCAGGGATGCATATATGCAGTCAGCCTTTGAATTGTTTCCCTTGTGGCAAATCACAAATTTTGGGCTAGAACAGAACCCAGCTTGAGAACCAGCCAGAGTAAACAGTTCGAAAAAGGCTTTCGAAATAGGGGGACGCCCAGAGTGATGTTCCTTCCTTTTGGGTTTTCCTTTAAAGCAAATTGAAAAGAGGTACCCTCTAAAAAACTCACACACCCAGGGTCGAGCCAGCGCAGGCGGGCTTGCCTCAGCATCTCCATGTCTGCGCTGAAGCTCTGAGCAACTTCATGGAACCTCGGCACGCCCGCTTTGGAACAGCTGGAGCAAGCGAAAACACCCGCCGTTTGGAGGCAGTGGAGGGTTGAAACAAACAAACCAAACAAACAAGCAAACAAGCAAGCAAACAAGCCCTACCAAACCAAACCCAGCAAAGTCTAACCAAACCAAACCAACAACCTACCAAACATACACAAAACAATGGACAGCTCGGAACTCGGACCGTTCTTTGTTGTTGTTAGGGAGGAGGAGGCGCGGGGCACTGGACAAAAACAAACAACACCCCGCCTCACGAATCCGAGCGCGTCCTCACGATGAGGGAATACGCATGTTGTTTGGAGATGTTGTGCTTTGAGGGTATCCTTTCAGGGCTCTGTTCTTGGGAACTCAAAGGGAAACTATCATTCTGGGGGTTACCCTGTGGGGGACACGTAGGTGTTGCTTCAAAGGAGTCCATGAAAAATGGGTGTTCAAGCCAGGTTGGTAAGCACCCTGGTACTGGGCACGCTGCATTTTTTTTGACCGCTGGTATTTGGGTGACTTGCTTGACTGACCAACATGTGGGGGTTTCTTCAAAAGGTTGACACGCGTTTAAATTGGAACCCACAGGAAACAGAACCCTACAATGACCCCTACACTATTTTGAGAAACATGCTGACCCTGAAGAAATAAACCTGCTCTATTAACAGTGGGGTAGTTCCCCTCCAAAAGTGACGAACCCCACTAGAAGGGGAGAGCCACAGTATGAATCAACCACGGGTGTATTAATCCGGGGGTTAGTATTATCGTTTAAGGAACCCTGTGTATCTGCTTGACTTCAAAGGGCCCCGGCTGCTTCGCATCAAGAGCGATGATGGTGGACTCATAGCGGGCATACATCCTGCAGAGCGGTTTGGAAACCCTTGGGAAACAGCCAAACAAATCATCACCTCCGGCAGGTCCGATGGAAAATCACATTGGTTTGCAATGAATCTGCGAGTATTACAACCTGAAAAACGGGATCCCCACAAGTGCAGGACCTACATCGTTTTCTCCCACGTGAGCTCGCTATACCATACGCAAACACATGTATGCGCATGGATCCACGGTCACCTGGTGTGCATTCCACGGCAAATTCAAAGGACCAAACCGCCTCTGAGATGTGTGTGGGCGTGTCTGTGCTGGGTACCTTTTTTGTCTTGGTTTCAAAGCAAACCAAATTGCAGAACCACCGTTTTGGGTGGGGGGGGGTTCCCCTATTTTGACAGCGCACAAACACACAACTCCAACCAACACGTTTGCTGCCTCGGGGAGAAGCATGTTTGTCCAAAGGAACCTTAAGAGCTAAGCAACACTACACAACACAACTACATCTAAACTTGGTTGCTTTCTGCTCCCCTGCTAAAAGTTTAACTTTTAGTGGCTTAATACAGAAAACCCATTAGTTGGCAAATAGTTAAAGTCCTAACATCCAAGCAAAATGCAACAAAGTAAAATACTATGCGTAGTCCTTCACAAGAACTTCGATCTTGCAGCACACAAATTCTGATCCAGCCCGGCTGAAGAAAGAGATGTGATCGAAGCTCATGAGTCTGTCTACACAACAAACAAGAACACATCATGTCTTACAACATACCCAGAAAGAAACAGCAACACACCCAACGGAACTCCATTCTGTCTTGTTCATAGCCCTGAGAGCTCTCATCTTTGGGACCTGCCTTGGCTTTGGCCGCAAAACGTCAACTTGCTTCTAGTGGCCGCCCTAAATACTGCAAGTAAACCAACCACCAACAATGGGGAATCACAGGCTTAGGCTTCTTCCCCACTTGTAATGTTCAGGGCTCCACCGCGGTGAAATGTTCGATTGTTTACCATTAAAATGGTCCAACCCCAAAACGTTTACTTGGGTGCTGTAGATCCCAACAAAAACTTTAACTTTTGCTGGTTACAAAATATATGGCAAAGATCCAAAAAGTTAAAGTCTAAAGATCCAACCCAATAGCGTTAGAGTTTAAAGTCCGCAACGGAGCGAGGGAAGTGATGAGCTTCTCCCACCCCTTGTGCGGCCCTTCAAGCTGAGCCTGTCCGACCTGTGGAATCCGCCGGGGAACACACAGGACCTGCCCAATTTGTGGTGGTTCGGAATTTCAGTGGGTCGCCCCACACCAAAAAGGCTTGCAAAGGAACCAAACCCCCTACAAGGCAAGGGAAGAACAAATGATCCATTTTTGGTGTTCATTGTACAGAGTGCTTCCTTCCCCGGTCACCCCAAAAAAAAACAGCACTGTAGCAAAACAAGGCGCGTGGCCCGAATCAGTCCGTCCTCCCCTGGTGAACCCACGGCGTCCACAGCACTGCCTGCCATGTCGACAAGGTTTCTGGGCTCTCCGAAGGGGAGAGTCCAAGCACGGACCCGTAAGCTGAAGGGGGCTTGATCCTAACCTCAGTTGTTCAGTGACCCTGGAAAAAAAGGGAACCCTTTTTTGGGAAGACCATTTTAGTGGGGCAGCCACCCAAAAAAGAGGAAAAAGGCAGCCACTGAACAACTGAGTAGTACCATGCGATGTATCTCTCTATATGGGTCAACATCCGATTCAATCCAACCACTAAAATAGGTTCGAAAATGGGTGGTGAATTCACCTACCCCAAGATGGTACCGTTGGTTTTGACCCATAGCCACATATAATTCGCTTGTGGCTTGGGTTGGAACAGCCGTTTCACAGTTTAGGAAACTTGTGCGCGATGAAGACTCTGCAAAATGAAGGGCGCTGTTTGTCTTTTTACCAAACGGTCATTACAAACTGCTGTCATAGGCCAGGGATCTGTCATTTGGGGACATCCTAAAATCCAAATGACGTTGTAGTGGGCGTGGCTCTGAATCCTGCATGTGTTCCGTTCTGTGGGGAGCATAATATGAACAAACAGGATGAACAAAAAACAGGCCTTGTGTCTCAAGCGCTACCCATAGCTGGCCATGGGAAAACCTGCACCCTGCCAGAAGCTCCTTTGGGTGACAAGACCCAATCTTCCAAATGGCATGGACACCAGTGTTGCAAACACAATACATTAAACAAACACAGCACCCCTTGTCCTTATCTTTATCCCTTTTTGTTCTGCTGCTACATGAGCGGGACAGGCATACAACATGACAGTGTCTTGTATTCAGTCCTACAAACTGGCATCACCCTGATCCACTGCCCCTGAAATGTAAAGGATATACACATAGTGCCAAACAGAATAGCAAAAACAGCTTCAACCAAGCCCAATCCCTACAACATGCCATACTAACCAAACATCATACCTACAAAATGACATAACTACGCCCAACCCCTCAACCTGGCCCGCAAAGAAAACAAGAGACATTCTACAATATATTTGCATTTTGCAGAACCCATTTTAAACACAAAGAGAGGCACAACCACAAGTCCGACAGACGGGTTTACTACAAACTGAGTTGACCCGACTGCGAGACCCCCAGTTTCTCTGTAAAGAAAAACCAACTATATTTACAGAACGGTCAATCTCGCCCATTTCATAGACGAAACGCACAGGGGGATTCCAGTACTTGTTAGTTTCCAATTGGTGCAGCTTCAATATGCGTGGATTCTTATTGTGCTTGAAAAAGGTCACCCGCAAAAAAAACAAAAGCCGGTAAGTTCAGCACAAGAGTCTCTCTGGAACCAATCCTGGCACGCCTCGACTGTGCTTCTCCGGGCCAAAAACCCAAACTGAACGAACGCTGTCCGTTCTTTCCAAGGAGCGCCCTTTCCAAACATGGCCAACCACCCCTAGCATGCAAACGTTTGTTGTCGTTATGACAATCCTTGAGCCACGAAATCAGGGTGGTTGAGTAAGCAACGGAGGAGACGTCCAAAGCATGATATGCATGAGGATTTGCACTAGCACACCTTGTGAGCCCTCAGCAAAAACCGTGTCGGTGTGCTTCTTGTTCTGCTGATATGTGGCACCTTGTTTAATTTTCCCATTGACGATGGACGCCAAGGCCTGGGAGGCAGTGTCATGAGTATCACAAATAGACCGCGTCCCGACTTGGCTTCGCCATGCAGGAACAAACCCAGGTTGCTTTCTGCTCGCCTGCTAAAGTTTAACTTTTAGTGGTTTAATACGGAATGCTTGTGTATGTTGCAGCATGGCAAGTGTTTACATGCAGCAACTGTGTGCGCGGTGGCAAACAACTCATGCAACCACGATGCCTCCCTAATGAACAGGTGACAATGAGTCTTTCAGTTTTGGTTTGGGACATTTAACGATCCCCCGGTCCCCTATGTCCCTCTCACATTGATCCACAGACTAGCGGATGGCTTGACCGCTGCACTAACGATCATAATTCATAAACCCTAAACTGATGTGCTTTCTTTGATGGTACCCCGTGTGGTTGTTTTTGAAGGGAAACCAAAGGAACACCCCAAAAAAGACAACCCAGGTAAGAAATCCCTACTTCGGAAGTGAAGGATCCATCCGCATGGCTGAGCTTGTTTCACCAAAAGTTTACCGAGCTCGCCAAAGGGTACATTCTCATGCAGTATCCCACACAATTCCATCGCCCAAACGTCTAACTCCCCCCGAGTAAGAACTCCAAGCCAGGAAAACCCAAAGTTGAGTCCTATGACCTGCTATGACTATGACTAGTCAAGGTTCAAACTAGACTCACTTCCTGAGTGGATTGGCCGGAAAAAGTAACCATTGGTTTACCACTAAAATGGTCCAAGAGTCTAAATCCCAAAAACAAAAATTCCGAAACGGAACTCGGGGAGCGAGTATATCAACAGTTTCCGGGTTGTTAAAAATCACAAGGCGCTGAGGACCGAGGACGGAGGCCTGATGAGCCGCAAAGGAAAGGGGATTCCATGAATACCAAAAGCCAGTGTCTCGCCTCGCAAAAGCTGGTCTTGCTCTCCAGGGTCTCTGCTCTTGCTTCCTGCGAGCGCGTTTGGGTGCACCCAAAACTTGGCCCCTACCCGGAACAAGTATCTTCAGAATCTGGTTCATGTATTATGTGGGTGTGTCGTTTTTTGAGGCCACCCTTTTTTTGGCGGGTTTAAAGGGAAACCAAAAGGAAAACCATCATTTTCGAGGTCTCCCTAAAAAAGACACAACAAAAAGTCTTTCATTTCGTAGACCAACACGTAACTGTCCTCAAGCATGGGACAACGCCACGAAATGCTGAGCAATATTCAATTTCTAAGGGCAGAAACGGCACTTTGCGGATACAAACCACCTGAAGAAAACACAGCAAATGGAGCCAGGCGCTTTGCTAAGGTTGTGCGCCATACTCAAACACTACTTGGGTTGGCCATCAGGGCCATGTTCGGAACCCTTAGATTTGTCAAAACTGCCCTTACGGGGTCCATGCCTACCCACCAAGTTGGGTCTCTTGACCATGGCAGATGAGTAACAATCAAAACCCGGTATGAAAATGGTCGACCCAGAACCATGCCCTCTCTGGGCTGCGTCGAAGGGGCAAGGACACGGCCATACCCTAAGATGTTTCTTGGAGTGCGGCGACTGTGACCTCGAATTACACAAAGCACCGGGTTTCGTGGGTCTATGATTGACATGGTTTGCCTTGTTTCTGATGATTCACACGCAGTAAGCAAGTCATGCTGCTTCGGCGCCGTAATTCAGGTATGCCCTTACCAACCCTCACCTGCCCAAAGGGCGTAAAGCAAAAGGTTCACCTTTGCAAGCCTTGACTACACTGGAACAAGAAGTGAAAAGCCAAAGGGGGGCATTGAGCAAGTGAGAATTTGGCTTTGTTGGAGGTCAAAGGCCTATTGTGAAAAACTCACCGCCCCATGTTTGCTTCAGGGAGGCTTGCCAGATTCCAAAGCAACGGGGGCTTTGCATCCAAGTCTTGGCGCCCATTCAGACTCATGGATTTCAGACAAGAAAAGCTATGTTGGCTTTTGAGCCCATTTGGCTCAATCGCAATGTGGGAAATGCACACGTGCCACCCATGCCTGCCAAACACTAGCACGCAACACAGGTACCGAAAATTCGGCAAACCGCCCACCCCCCTGTGCTCCAGGTCCATGGCCCTTTTTCTGTAGTCTCTGAATTGCTCGAAGTGGTCTTGGAAACAACCAAAAATCCATCTTGGTACCAGAGGCATTTCGAGAACCCGAAAAAGTGTGACTTTGATGCATTCAGCTTCACTCGCCGATCTTGGGATGCCCAAAGCGACATATTCCCAGGCCCAACGGTTCACCGAAGTTGCGGCGCCTGCCAAAGGAAGTACTCCAAAGTGCCGTGCGACACGAAATACCTCAGCGAGGTGTGTGGGTTCTCTTTGGTGCATACCGTTTTCAGGGTGTCGTAAAGGCAAGGTACCCATTTTGTGGGCTCCCTTGAAGGGGAACACTTTGTGCGGGTACCATTTTGGGGTACCGTTTTCAAGGGAAACCGAATCCAAATCCTCGACTTGAGCTTCGCTCATTTGGAGACAACCAAAAGGTGCAAGCGATAGAAGCGGACGCGCCGAGAGGTAGAGACAAACCTCCTCAAGCTCTTTGAACTGAAACTCGCTCTGTCACACTTTGCGGCATTGGGATTCCTGCAGGCCGGTAGGCAAGATACTTTGACTCATTAGATCTGGTGGAGGTGTCCCCCGCCAGCACAACGGCTGCCTGTGACGGCTGCCTGTATGGTACTTCGAGACCCTCCGGTCTGGGCATGACAAACGCAGCATATGAGTTGTAGGGCAAACCGAGAACGTTTTTGGGCTCTGCAGGAAAACCGAAGAAAGGCAGCTCATCGGGTACCCAAGATTTGGAGACAGGCCCAACTGGATGTGAGTTTCAAAGCGGGAGGGGACAATTTGGTGAACATCATTTACCTGGGCTGCCCTCAGATCCCCTGCTAAAAGCTTAACTTTTAGTGGGCTACGCGGAAACTACCAATAAACCCCAAACAGCTAAAAGGCTAAAGGGGGTGGCTGGGAGCCACCAAGTTACATGTTGCATGTTCACAACGTAAAGTGTTCCAACTTGTAAAGGTCATGTCGTCATTTGGCCAGGGTACCCAAATTGTCCCTCCCCTCTCGATAAGCACCCCAACGCACACTCTGATGGGATCAAAGAGGTCACCCAATTTGCGGCGTGCTTTCCTATCGGTGTCTCCGCATTGAAATTGGACGGCTGTTCAAGGGGAGCCAAAAGGAAACCCTAGTTTGGTCCCCAGAAACAACCCAAAAAGGAACCAAAAGCGAATCCGGGAAGTGGAGATTGCAGATAACGATTGGTGAAAACGGCTGGAATCAAACCTTAGAGCTCTGTGTTGGCTAGTTTCATCTTGAGGATCCTTTGGTTGGAAGCGGGGACCCTAAACAAGCCAAAAAGAAGCCCAAAGCGCGTGATTGAGAAAGCGACCCCTGTTTTGGATGGTATTGAAAAAAGAGGAACCAACAGCCAACAGCCAACAGCAAATTGAGAAAAATCCGCTTTGCGATTGTGTCCTGTGTGGAAGCAAAGTGAAGAGCACTCCTGTGCCAAGAGCTGCGGCCGCTGGTTCAGCATGCATCAGGCCATGGCGACCCGAGCCCCAGGAACCCTGCTGGCTGACTGGCCATGCGTGCGCCACACCTGTGGGCTCTGGAAGTGTTCCAGGGGTTGCTGGCATACACAGCTCTGCTTTCTGTAAAAAAGTGCATTGCTCTCAGGCGTTCTTCAAGAGAAGTCAAAAAGGAACGCCACCTTTTCGGGGTCCAGAACCCTATTTCGACACGTACCCGCATGCATCGTACTTGGAGTACTCCAAAAAGACCGTTGTTCTGCTGTTTCATCTCTAGTCTACCCCAAATTCATACAGTTTTGCTTTGGAGACCCTCAGTTTAGACACACCCCAAAGCCCTCGAGAAGCTACCCCGGCCCGACGCGGCTTGCGTCCGAAGGGCATGGAGGTACAAACCTGCCCGGGGCTGAAGATCATCTCCCCCTTCTCCAGCATGGACTCCTGGCCATCGGATTCCGAAGGTCTCGATGTCCCATCGTTGAATCGAGTGGGCAGCTTGCGCTGAAAAATTTGTCGGGAATCTCTGCGCACATGGAATGAGTCCGATTTAAACCATCCAACCTGGCCAGCTGGTGGTTTCCTAGGATACCCCCAGGTTCATTCCCTTCCCTGAGGAGCAGCAAGTCTGGCTTCTCAGGGTGAAGGCTGCTCGTCCCCAAAAGGCGCATTGCTCAAGCTCCCAAGCCAGGTCCTTTGGGCAGGGTGCTTGTTTGAGGCTCGGTACCTTTTTTCAGGTTGGCTTTTAAAGGTTATTTTCACACACACACACAATTTGGGACAATGACCCTTCAACAACTGGGTTGTAGGAGATGGGAAAGGGCGTAAGCCTATATGAGAGTGTTTTCTTTTCGGGGAGCCCCCGTTCCTTTTTGTTTCCCTGTAAAACTCGCCCAAAGGGGTTTCCCCTAACAACAACACACCCATATGGTTGGATAAAGAAGTTAGGGGAACCTCCTGGTGCTTTTCAACGACTCCGGCGACACTGGATTTTGGAAACGCTTACTAGTGGTATTTTGCTGAAATGGACTGTTGGCAATCTGATGTTCCATAGTCCCCATTGCAAAACCAATACACAAATGAGCCCTTTCGTAACGCAAGGTGAGGATCTTGCGGATTGCCTTTGAACAACCCGGATTTAGTAGTGTGTGTTTGTGTGTGTGTGTGGTCAAGACGTCAGCGAAGGTCGCTTGTTTTTGCTTCCCCATGCAGAAGGAAGTTTTGTTCCAATGTCAGGATGCCATGTGCGTGCGTGTCCTGTTACCCTTTGGGGTACCCTTAAACAACCCCACATTGGCCCGAAGGCTTCTTTGCCCAGGTTTTATCGGAGCGTTTTGGACAATCGGCACGAAGCAGCTAGACCTGAAGTGACCCAGCAAAAAAACAAACATGTAATTTGTTCGCTCCCCTAGTGGACTGGCCAAAACAGTAACCAAACTTTTTGTTTACCACTAAAATAGTCTTTCCAAAAAGGATACAGTCCAGGAAATCAGGGAGTGAGACCGAAGGGCTTCCCCCCCCCACAAACGTTTAAAGTCCGAAACGGAACTCGGGAAGTGCGAATATGCTACAGAACTCGGGCTCCAAGGCAGGCACTCCTCTCTTCCATTTACCCGTGGACATGGCTAAGGTGTGACCATTCTTTCACCTTCCAAATACCTCCCTGGAAAAAGAGAAGATGAAACAAAAACAACAACGCGGGTCCACCGATCTTGGCGTCCCAGAGTCAACCCAGCCAAACGGATTGTTTCATTTGGGACACAGTTCACGACCCAAGGCAAGGGAAAGATTCCTTCATGATACGGCATGAGTTGGCAAACTGAGCACCTTTGCGCACCTCTGCACTTTCTGAACCTCTGACAGCCAAAGGGAAACTGCACTTACCCATTTTCTGGGGGCAGGAAACATTGGCAAGGAGACGGATCCAAAGCACAATAATGTTCACTGGCCATGGCCACAATGAACAAGTTCGCTTCAAAGCCAACAGGAAACTATAAAACGTACCCTCCAGCATGGACCCGGACTGGGCCCAAGACTGGGTTCCTCCAAGGCCTTCTGGGGGTTTCATGTTTCAGCGCGTAGTCCTTCACAATGCAGCACAGCATCTGCATGAGGCTGGTGTTCGTGTCGCCTAGGACGAGATTGAATGGATCTTCTTCGTGCGCCGCCCAAAGGCCAACAAATAAATGGGTGAAACTTGTTTTGAGTGAAGCTTTTTCGGTCGGTTTGAAGGAAAAGCAGAGGGAACCCCATTTTGAACAAATTCCCTATTTTAAGACACACCCAAACTGATTCTGCCGCGGGCACAAAACAGTCAGCTGAACTGAAAACTGCTATCCGGCCTGGAACAAGGATACGCGTGTTTTGCAAAGGAACCGTTACAGCTACCATTGACTCAAGGGCGTCAGAACGGTTGGCTGCCACTAGAACCTTCTCCCTTGACAGTCAGAAGGAGCAATAGTGGCTTCCTTTTGCTGATTCGCCCCCGGGGAAAAATGGAGGAACGTCTTTCCAGTAGTGATAGATTCGATTTAAAACCAACAAAGGGAAAATTCAACATAGTCTTAAGTCTTAAGCAAATGAAAGGTGGTTTAAACATGCCATGCAGGCGTTGGCCCAACCCTAAAATTTTGTGAAGCCGTGCAATCAAAATCTGTGGTTGCGAGGCTACCATCTGCTCTGGTGGCGTAGCAAAATCATGTACCCTCCCCGCAGTTGACAGCTGGAATGTGCCCCAGGGCGGGTTCGTTGTGGTCCTCGTCAAAATGGGCTTCCCCCCTTTCAGGGCCCACAAATCGGTCACAATGGCAATGGCAATTTCCGAGTAAGGAAGTCAAACAGCATAATGTTGATTCATTTTGGGACTTGTGCTGGTTTCGAATTGGATTAGTAGGGGGTTAGCGTTGGTCAAGTATTGGTTCTAAACCGAGCTTGGGGCGAGCCATTTGCTAGTTTTGGCAGTGGCTAATTCTAACTTGATATTGCGAGATCCGGGGTCTGGGGAAAAAAAAGGTACATAGGAATCAACGTCTGCCAGGCTGGTTGCTCACTGTCCCAGCAGTGCACAAGGTGTCTTTTTTCAAACATGCTATGGAAGTCACCGGGGGCCCTGGTTTGACTATGATGGTAATGTTGACCCCGTGGTGTGTTCCCTCCCATCGTGGTTTGAATCCCCACTGAAAAGGGACACTGTCCGATCAAAATCAACCAGGGGTGGAATTAGTGTTATCAGTGCTTCCAGGTACCACAATAATATTCAATAGCAGCAACCAGGGGAAACCATCATGTAAAACCTAGAGGTAGTCATGCCAGAAGGTTACCTGCTGTAGTGGCTTGCCTGAAACACTTGATATTAAATCTCCCGTTGGTCTCTTTAGTGTCCCAATAGTCCCTGTTAAGACTGGCCGGCCTCCTGTTCACTTAAGCAAAGCATCCTTTACCCGAATCGGTAACCCCCGGCGGTAGCTAGGGGCGCGGCTCAAGGCGTCAAACAGGGGATGCACCTCGATGCCATCCGAGTTGAAGCGCGGGGAGGGTGTCACAAGTAGAAATCTTGTTTCATTCTCAAGAGAAAAGTGACAAATTGGAGTAATTCACATATTCGTTCAGTTGACAAACCAGCAAACTGGCCCAAAAACATAACTTTTAGATTGATAGATCCCCTTTCCAACCAACAGGCACAATTACACATATTCTTCAGCGAAGGCATGCAAGGGTCTTTTGACCACGGCACTCTCGTGTTTGAGTGCGGTCCATAGGGCTCATACGTGTTTCGCTCGGAACCCATTTATTGAGACATCATTCACAGGGGGGTTGATGCGCTTTGAGGGTATGAGTCTTCCGCGTTAAGATTCATAGGCGGTGAGGCGGTGAGGTTCCTTGGGCTTCCACGCGAAACAGCAAACAAAAGATACCCGCAACCTGAGACACGCAAACACACACACACACACAAAACACGCACACGCACAGAAACACACACCCAACCACAAACACAAACGCAAACAAACACAAACACAAAACACACACAAACACAGGCACAGGCGTGAACAGAAACTGAAACAGAGACACACAGACACACAAAAAACAGACACACACAGACACAGACACACAGACACAGATACACTGACAAACAGACACACAGACACAGACACACAGACACACAAATAGACAGGCGGACAGACAGACAGGCAGGCAGGCAGACAGACGGACAAACAATCAGACAAACAGACAGAGAGGCAAACAATCAGACAGGCAGACAGACAGACTTCACAGACACACAGACACACACACACACACAAACACAGACGCGCACACACACAAACACGCAAACACACACACACACACACACATGCAGACGCGCAGACACACAAACAAACAGAGACAGACAGACAAACACACAAACACAGTGGACACAGGCGCAAACACATGCAAACACAGGCACTGACACCCACGCACACACACACACACACGCACACGCACACGCACACGCACGCACACGCACGCACACGCACGCATCTGGGCATGAAAGCAACACCTGGCTGGCTTGCAACAAGCACCCGGACCCGAAAAACACTCGACACTCCCGGACCAACAAATCACCCACTTGCGCAGGCGTCCAAAAACAAACCATGCCGCGCTTACTCTCTTTATTTAGTCGTTGGATGTGGCTGCAGTTACCGGGTAGCACTTGGGCGGTAGTGGGCACCATCTTAGTGAGAAGTAACGAACACAGCAGGCAACCGTTTTGGATCTCTTTGCTAGCGTAATCAACCCTCGTAGCTCGTAGCCTGGCCCCTTTGAGAGGAAGCAATCTTTGGACACCGCGCGTCTTTGACTTGAACCGTTCTTAGATTTCTGGGCTCCATGTTGGTTTGCTAAGGAGAGAACAGTCAGGTGCTTCTCGTACATCTCTCGGGCGATCTCCTGCGGGTACTTCCCAAGTGGATTTGCCGGCTTGAGGCTGAACTGTTTTGTTTACCTCTAGAGTGAGAAGCTGATTTGGCGCACAAAGAGGCTTCCGCCTGCTCCGAAAATCGACCTCCGGTGCAACTCATATATCCATCAAGTGAACCGTCCACTGGATGTGCAGGAAAGGGAAAAAAGGAGACAACAACCATAAACGGGTGCCCCTTTCAAGATATGATCCTCACTACAGGGGCCCACATCAAGGTTTGGGCCAACCTCTTGCTGCATCTTTACTCACCGAACCTTCTGTTGCGTTGCCTGATTCTCCAGACTCACAGCCTGGCTGTTTCCCAAGAATCCAAACATCAATCAACGCGTGGTCCCCATGGGTGCAGTGCCTGTCCTTCCAAAACCAGTTCCACGTGTCAGAAACGTCGATCCCATTCTGCTCGAGCCCAACCTCGGCAAGCTGTCCTCGACTGCTTGCTATGGCTGATCGACGCGAACCCTCAGGACGAGGCCGGCAGCGCAGAGACACTTGGCACCGTCGCCGCCGCCGCGGCCGCAGTCAACGCCGCCAGAATCCGCGCTTTGATCGCCGAAGCCCTCGCCAACCTCTTTGCCAAGTGGACAGGCGTGACAGGCGCCCCTGTGCTGCGTACCAACACCGCCCAGGCAGCACCCCCCCGCCGAACCTTGATGACATGACCAACCGGGCCATTGAGCTTGTCGCCTCTGACCCAAACAAGTCTGGCTCAAATACCCTACACCTTCACATCTCGAGCGGTCTCCGCTCCTATCAGACTTGGGCCCCTCTGCCCAGATAACCCGCGCCAGGCCACAGGGGTGAGCAAGCAGCTTGCAGCGCAGCGCAGCCTGCAAAACCTCCCACAAAGGCTGCCTCGTGGCTGCTATCTGAGGGCTGATGACACGTAGTCCTGACTACAGAGCCTGCGGAAGGAAGGCGTCGCCATCCTCATCCTTCAGATGCGCTACATGAATAACTACCTTGTCGTTTGGAGACGCATCGACAACCAGCCTGCGCAGCTTGAGCAGTCCGCCAATGTGTTGAGGGACCGCACCATAACCCTGCATGGCCTTCTTGGGGACGGAGAGTGTTGCTGAGTGGCCTCTCGTTGGCCTCCCCCTCTCCTACGGCGGGGTCTTCGACCACTCGGTCTTCGCCCACTTCAAGCGCGCAGTCCTTTGCGAGCTCGCTGCGAGCCGTACAGCACCTCAAGCGAAGTGAGGGCCTGGCGGGCGGTGCTTGGGCGGCTTGGTTTTCCGAGGCCGCTCGTCCACTCTTGGCTAAAAGGCCTCTGCAAGCCCTGGCGACAGTAGATGCAATCAGTTCGCGCTCCTTTCTTGATAGCCTGGTCTGCTGTGGTTTGTCTCCTTTTTTGGGGATCAGTGTTGTTGCTGTTTCTGCCACCGAAGGCGGGCTTTGGATGAGCCTTCAGGATGACAGTCATTCTGCACCACCTCATCTCCGGTGTTGGATTCTGAGTCCTTCGCCCATGAATCGATCCTTTGTGTTGGATTCAGAGTGCTTCGCCCATGAACTGACCTTCCTGTTGCGTTGCTTCATTCCCCCTCACTGTGGTCCAGACTCACAGGCAGAGTCCGACAAAATCGCTAAACTCCAGGCCATACGTTCAGCTGGGACGGCAGCGGGTTGCACACCCATAACTTAGAGTTACGCGAAGTCCTTGTGTGCAGTACAGGGTAGGCCACCACAAAATCTCACTTGCCATCAAGAAACCTCGACTTGCACACCATTCTCGAAGTCTTGGCATGACAAGACGCCAGCTTCTGCTCAGCAGAAGCGGGTATAGACAAGACTTTACTCCGCTCGCCGCGAGAGATGCCTCTTTCGCGCGCTCAGTACGAGATTGCACCTCGCGCATGGTAGACGAGACCTGAGCCAAGCGGCCCCTCTATATGTCGAATGACGATTCAGGCCCCGTTCCAATATTTAAGCCTTTCTGCCGATACCCAAGAGATTATCAGTTTTGCTGGAGTGCGCATGATGTTCAATGCAGTTCAGCAGGGATCCTTACGTTTTACACCTGAACATTGCCTTGTAAATGGTGGGTTTCTCTTTATTTTGGTGGAAAAAGCCATGTTTCAAACGGGCAAAAAGTATCTTTTAAGAAGCCCTGTTCAAACATGCAGGTTCCCCATGCACCAACTGGGTATGGGTCAAAATATAATCACAAGAGGACCGCAGGGTTTAGTCTTTGGCTCCACTTACCAGGGTTCCATTTGGGGTACGCATTTTTGACCCACAGCCAACTGGAGAAAGGGAGACTCCTTCGTGAGCATCTGCGGCAGTAAAGGCAGAATCTTCACCTCGCGCCGAAGCGCCGCGACCAAGCGCATCAGAACCAACCCACCAAAACTTGTGGTCCTCTGCTGAACAAAAAAATGGGTAAGTCCAGCCTAGATCTGGACTCTGATTGACCTATCCAGCGCAAGGTCAAATTTGCATGTGCCATATACAGCTCACACGACATCCCAACAGTTTGCCAACTCTGAAAACTCGGAACAACGCAACTTCCTCCTCATTGACCTGCATCTTGCAAGAAAAATGAGATAGGGGAACAAGTGGCATGTCGTGTTCCTTTTGAGCAACACTGGCCAAGTGGACACGTTCAGAACCATTGCAAGGGGAAATCACGCCGCCTGGAAACCACCAAGCAATCAATTTGGAGGGGCCTCTGGCTTCGACATGCGTGGTCTAAACTCCTGTTGGCAATGGTCTTTGCAGAAACACTCAGAGTTGTCAAAAAATCCCATTCTGGGCTCACTCGGGCTCACTGAGTTGTCCAAGATGACTAAAAAATGACCCACACCAAGAGAAATTAGAACCTCAAAAGGTCGCTTCGCTTCTCACGCAAGTGATGAGCCATGTCAACCAACATGGAGGCCAGGACCTTAGCTTGCCACTTGGCAGCATCGGGGGGTTGACAAGGGGGTGTCATGCCAAACAGCAGGCACCACTCGGAAAATGGAAGCTTCCGTTTGCTTAAGCGCACTGGTAGTGATAGATTCCCTTTCAAACCAACAAGGGAAAATAAAACATATTCGCAAGCAAATGGAAGGAAGCCCATGGTCAAGGAAACGAGCTTGATCCTTGAATATTGCACGGTGCTACACTTCGGGAAGCCACATACTCAGATCTATCACGTGAAATGGGCTGGGGCAACCCTCACTTCTCCAGTTGCCCGCATGCCGCGAGCCAATTCAGCACGCCTGAAACAAAAGCGTCCAATTACGTATCCATGCTCTCGCATCATGGAAGTGGACAGAAGGGTTTTAGGAAGACCACCATCATCTGAGAAAGATCCTGTCCACTTCCATTATCGTTGGCAAAAGAATAATACACACAACTTGGTTCCATCAAGATAGCAGCCGCCAGGCGAAAAGGAGCGCGCCTGGTCCACATTCACCTTCTGGTACTTTGGCTTGATGATCGCTTCTGTGTAGCGCAGAACCCTGGCAAAAAGGTGCGGCACTCTTGGTCGGCCACTGAGACATTTGGCTGTGGGTCAGAAATAGGTACCCAAAATGGAACGCTGGTAAGTGGAAACTGGCCTAAAACCCGCGGTCCCCTAGTGGTTTAATTTTGACCCATACCCATTTAGTTGGAAGGACACATTCGTTCATTTCTCGGCTCAAGTCCGGATGCCTGTCGAACATGTTTCAAAAGGACAAAGGTTTGGTTCAGCTTTGATATAAGATTGGTCTAGGGCTCTGCCGAGGTCTGAACTGTGGGTGGCTGGAACATCCTCAGTCTCACAGGTCTTGCAGCTTTGGACACAGGCGAAAGGAATGATCACGTTGAAACGTGCGGCTGCGAAACTTAATCGGACTCCGCCAGGTGGACGTGAAACGCCCTGTAATCATGTCCACCAAAAGGTCCCAAGCAAAACACATACGCATGTGACCTCACCCACCCACTTACCCACTTACCCACCCACCCACCCACCCACCCACCCACCCAGCCAGCCAGCCAGCCAGCCAGCCAGCCAGCCAGCCAGCCAGCCAGCCAGCCAACCAACCAACCAACCAACCAACCATCCACAAGCCTGCAGTCCCTTCATGTGATTTAAATCACACCTCTGACTGACTGATTTCCAAGTTTGTCTACGCGCTTGTGGGTGCACTCGCTGCACAAAGTCAGAACATAACGCCCTAGCATGTTCACAAGCCAATTCGTTCCAAACAGCATGTAAGCCGACGACTATTTTAATATTGTCGATATGGTCACCTAGGTGTCCTTTGGAGACATAGAGGGTAGCTTATTAGAACCAATCTGGAACCATGCCTGTGCCATGGGTCTGTCATTTCATTTCAGGCAATCCGGTTGCTCGACGCTGTCTCACGCAGCCGGGAATTGTAACCGCCAAACAATTTCGAACTCTGTCTGAAACAAACACCTCCAACCAGGTTTTATCAACCCTCCCTTTGCCAAAGCCCACTGGAAAAATACAACACACATATCCGTAGTGAAATCGACACCCTTTAAAACCAAACAAAATCAAATAAAACAAAATCCCGAGGAGAGGTGACGTCCGCTGAGTCTGTTGGGGACTGCGCCTATGAGTCAGCGCAGCTGAGATTTTCTGCTCCCGGAAGTACCGTCGCATTGTCCAGATCTGGTGCTTGTAGACCCTGGCGAACCGATCACTCGACTCGTCTTAGCCCTTGGTTTGGCTTGAATGGTGGCTTGGTGGGGCTTCAGCTTGTTTGGTGGTTTGGTGTTTTGGTGGTTTGGTGGTTTGGTGGCTTGGTTTTGTTGTGGTGGTTTGGTTTGCTGCCTTCCCCCTTCGGCTTCAGAAAAAAAGGAGTCGTACAGATTTCTTGATGGGGAAATAGGTATCATGCTTCCCGCCAACAAAGTTAAAGATCCCACTCAATAATTAGCATTCAAGGGAAACCAGAGGTAAGCGAGGCCGAATGGACGGCTTCCTCAACCCCTTGTCGTGCAGCACTCAAGGCTGCCTGTCTTGCAGCTCTCAAGGCTGCCTCGAAAAAACACACACACACACACAAAAAAAAAAAAAACAAGCTGAGGTCTGGTACCAGCCATTCATGAAAACTAGGGGCGGGGAAATATGGAAAGAAGCATTCCATGAGTCGAATTCCCCCTTCGTTTAGGAGGGGTGTGCATGTGGTACTTTCTCCATGCCTTGCAGCGATTCTTCTTTTGAGAAAAAAACCAAGCCAACAACAAATCAAGGAAGTGAGCGATTGAACAACACCAAGTCAGTAAAATGAACCCAAACGTCTGACTCGGAATATGTATATATATATATATATACATATAGCTTAAAGCTTAAAGCCAAGTAGCACCCATGCTGGACTTTGAGTGAAACGCGAGTCGAGACACTCTCTTTAGGTCTCCTACCCCACAAGAAATCCATGCCTGTTGTACCCTCAGGAGCCTATCAAATGCTCAGTCACTTCATTTGGGCTATGGCCACAGCCTGGCTTGGTTTACCCGAAGTGCCTGAAAAGAGAGCAAGCATATCCAAGGGATTGGTGAAAGCGCCCCCCGCCCCCAAGCAACAAAAACTCCAGCTTGAGGTTTGGGTCGGGGTGGGGCGCCAGCAAAAGACATCCGAAGGATCCCAACAGACCTCGGACTGGCATCACGGAAAACCTTTGTACGGACGCTTCGGAACGGTTTGCTCTCGGCGCCCACGTACGGCGTGTCTTACCATCTTACCAACAAAGCCAGAGATGCACTACTGCGCCCCCCGCCCCCGAATCCGAACCCGCCAAAAATGTTCCTGTTTGGGGTGGGTTCCTTGGACTCGCCATGGCCCATTCCAAAGCCACGATTCCCGCCGCTTCAGCTGCATTCTTCTGAGTTCCATGACTCGAGCCATATGTCGAAAACATAGTGGCTTAAACATATATGGCACATCTTTAAACTAGCTTAGCCACTCTGGTTTACACAACCTTACTTTGGGTCTTCAAAGGTGAGCAGGGTCTGGTTGTCTGCTTCTCAATACCTATCCCTTCCAGCTCTCCTTCCCTCCTGCTTCCCGCGTGACTGAGGCCCCGGGCGCGTTGATGTCCTTCAAATTGTTGGTGGCCGCGGTAATGGAACTCACCGTGGAGGAGAAGACCACCATGCCCAAGACAAGCACCTAACGTACGTTCCCTCGAAAATAATTGGTGGTTTAAAGCCGAATCGGTGGTTTTGGTGGGGTCAAATCCAAATCCAAACCACCAAAAGGTTGAAACAAAGGGTACCATTCAACACACAAACACAAGATGGAGCCGGGTCGCAGCTTTGCCGACCAAATCTTTACAAACACATGCTGCTTCTGGTCCGTGTTCAGTGCAAATAAACATGTCTTAGGCAAATAAAGGCTGACGCGAGGAAGCTGAGTAAGCTGGAACGGGACAAGCCATAAATCTTGACATAAATCCATCTCAGCGTGGTGCTGCGAGTGAGTAAATGTTCAGGGGCTCTCCTCAAAGCAACCATACGCAACCTTTCTGGAGGAGTATGTCCCAAATTAACAAGGAAAACCGAAGCTTCGGGTGTGTCTCTAATTGAACCCTAGCTTTTGAGGCTTCCTTTTGAAATCCCTGGTTCTTTGGGGGTTCCTTTTGGCATCCCTTTCAGGTTTGTCTTGGAGACCTCCAAAGGCTGCCTTTTCTTTGGTTTCGGTTTACAACCACAAAACAGGCACCCGCAAAAAAAGAGAGAGAGAGAGACAAAAAGCGAGGAAAAAACAAACCACGACGCAAAAATCCGCCCCGTCTTCACCCCCAGTCTCCGAACCGAAAACCTGATCCGTCGATCGGGCCCCTGACCACCACGCTGTAGAGCCGCTCCACGCCTCATAGCCAGGGGGATTGGAGAGACATGAAAAAACCAACAGGAAGTGAGCCTTCCAAAAACAGGGGGGCTGTGTTTTTGCTCGGGCTGCTGGCAACATCCCCAAAATCACCAGCATCACTTGGCCCTGGGACCGCCTATTGAGTGGCAATTGGGAGTTGCGGTCAAACACTGTACCACAAAAAGCTGCAACCACCTTCTGCCCGTGGAAAAACCTTTAAGTTTTCCAAAGAGTCACCCCACCGACTCACCTGGAAACCAACTCCGGATAATCTTCCGATTTTCCTCTTCAAGGGAACCTCTATGCGAGTGGTGGAAGCGTAAAAGCATTCCGGGTCGAAAAAGCAACCAAAAGGCTTAGCTGACTCATCCCTTTGCCATGACTCATCTGCCCCAAGCAAGAAGTCAAGCTATGGGGGTCCTTGAAAGCTTAGACGGTGCCTGCTAAACATGCACTGGGATGTGTCGTTTCTTAAAAAAGCTGTTGTTTGTGGTGTGTTAAGGGGAAACGGCCGACTTTGAGGGTTCCCCATTGCAACAAACCCAGAATGGGGCGAACGATGCAAGTAGTGCAAGTAAGATCCCAAACAAGGACGCTATATTTTGAACATCAAAAAAAAACGTTGCTGCGACTTAAGCAGGTAGCCAGCCACCTTAGGCCCAAAAGGCTGCCATTAGCCTAGGGAAATGGAATCAATGGCTTGCTTATGTCTGGCACTGGGATGCCAGAACTGATTGAAATCATGTGGCCGTGGCTCAAAAAGTGGCACCAAAATGGCACCTTGGCAAATGGAACCAAAGACTAAAACCTGCGCAGCCGAATGCTTTTTAACTTTGAGCCACACCCATGTTTAGCACGGTTTACCATGTGTTCCCATGGGCGAACAATGGAAAACATAAGCCGCACACCAGACTTCCATCCACTTCTCAGGATGCCGCTGTTCACGGGCTGCACGTTCATAGATCCAGGTGTGAACCTCACTTAAAGCAGGTTGCAAGTCGAAGAGGAGTGCCAGGGTATACACATCCAAAGGGAGTCAATCCTGTCTTCCTATTCATAAGCAGGACCCCCAATAATGAAAACCCCATCCAGCCGACCCAACAAATGCCAATACTAATTTCAAATTACCAATAATAAACGTCCCCGAATGAACTCAGCCAAGCTCCTCAAAAAATACGCATATAAGGCCACCCTGTCAAGGATCAATCGGTCTGCCTTGTGTGAGCGTTGCTTTTTTTTCTTTTTTCTTCTTCTTTTTTTGTAGGGTCTCAGCGCTTTGTCTGGTTCTTTCAAACCAAAGGCTTGGTGCCTGCACAAGCGGCTGTTTATTATAAGTTTCCTTTTGGAACCTTTAAAGGTTATTCCTCAAAGATAGCATTCTGAACACTTTTCTGCAAATCAACGGGTCCCACTTTCCAAGTTGAGCCACTAACTACCGCAAGCTGAAAAACAAAATCCTCCGAGGCTCCGAGGGCTTTCTTTTATTGGGGGGGGGAGGGGTGGCTCGTTTTGAAGAGAAGGGGCCGCCATTTTAATAAAGCTAACTCATGTATAAGTCCCGGGCATCCCGTGCAAGAGGACATGGGGCAAACTGAGCAAATCTGGGTTGCTCCCCCATCTCCCCAACCCAGTACACAATGATCTGCCTCCTGGAGCCTTTGAACTTTCCCAGACCTCCCAAAGCACAAGTTCCAACTGGGCATTCAAACTCATGCGGACGTGCAGCGACCTCGAGGGGGAGAAGCAAGTCCTGTTGTCACTGTCAAGACAGGGTTGAATCAAGGAGCGGTCTCTGAGGACCTTCCTCCAGCTCGCTTAACCCCCAGCCAAGCTCACTATGATTTGCCCCCGACCTATGTACATGAGCCTCGTCAATGAGTTGAAGCCCATGGAAGGAAAACTCCAGTGCCCAAATGGCCGCACAAGGCATCCTACTTCATAGCAGGAGATTCGGCTTGAGTTCCTTTCTTCAGAAACATGACTCTCACAAAGTCATGCTATGAGCTGCTTTTGGCTGATGAGAACATGTAAGGCTAGAACCAATACCAAATACGTTCTGCCTTCCCGTCAACAGCACGAAAGTGTAGAGGAGTTCTTTTCAAGACGCCAGTAGTCTTCCTAATCCTTGCTGTCTGCTTCCATATTAGGAAGGCGAGATCCAGTCCAACCCAGCCCCTTCCCCCCCACAACTCGGTCTTGCAGGCAAGCGGCTGCGTGATAGACCAATGCAAGGCCGTCAGGTACCTGCCGGCAAGCTCTATCATAGAGCAGCAAAATCAAATATCACGGAGGAAAATAAATAACAACTCGGATAGAAATGGCATGCTTCAATAGCAATGGTGATCACGGAGAGGAAGTGCATCTCTCCTTCCCATCCCTTCTGTAAGGCTCCGTCTACATCGCTGGGAAGCTCATCTGCGTCTACAGCCAACTGAGTCAGGTCGCCATCATTTCCAGCTCAAGATTGGAATGGGATACCGCTGGTCTCCTTTCCAAAGCTATAAAAGTGAGATACCTTGGTATTACACAACCAAGACAAGTCCCCACCTCCCACGACCCTGAAAGCATGCGCTCGTATTGTCTCGCACTTTTGCAGACTGTGCGTTCTTTGGTGCGCAAACGCGCTTTCTTCATTTCTTCACTGGAAATAGGACTGGAGCCACCTTTACATTTGAACATGGCAATCCCTTGTTAACAGGATGACTCTCCTATTGAGTGTATGGTCAAAGCCTCCTCAATGTCGGGTAAACACAGTAATGGCCCGACAACAAATGCTTCCCTTGCCAAACTCCTTGGCCTTTTGCGAACATGTGAAATGGCCCTTGCGGCGGAAACATGATAGCACACTGGCACAAACACGTTTCCACCAGTGAGACTCACTACAACTTCACCCGTCTCTCTGCCCGAAAGGTTGAAGCATCTGAAGAAATAGCCACCTGAACTTCAGCAAATGCCATGCAGAAGGTATCTTCAGCACCCTTTTTCCAACGAACGTGGAAGTGGACAAACGGGACATCCGAACCCCCCGCCCTGCACATCAATGATTGTTAGCAAGAGGGTAATTGATCAACCTTGGCTATTTTCTTCAGCCGATTAGTTGTCATGCCAGTTGCAATACCTCAGCATTCATCGACAACACTGCACAAGCAGAAAATCTCCACTACAGCAAAGAAAAGTGCATGACCATGACAATCAAGCACAGAAAATCCCCCTGTGGCTGGAGGCGTTTGTTGCTTGGCGCCGGCTCCATGCGAAGCACCGTCTCCCGGTGCTGATCTTTAAATGCAGCGCCAAACTTCGAAAATGGAAAGTCCTATATCCCACTATCTGCAAACGTGATCAGGTTTGCTGAAAAGGAATCAACAAATCCAGTCTGTCGTGTCAGTCATTGTTGCATGTCGTATACAGCTATACGGCTATGCCTCAAAAAGTGAGCTCCGCTCGAGCGTCTATCTGTGGTACCCCATTGGAATTCCGATTGCCCAATTTCCACCCAGCCAACAAATTGTTCACCCATTTTACCCAATTTCCACCCATATCTCCAAATGAAACATCACTATTTCCACTCAGCGCTTGTCCATCCCGCAGCCCTTTCTGTGCCCACGCCCAGCTCGCGTGCTCGGGATGGATGTTGAAGGCACGGCCCGGGCCCAGTTTGTTTGGAGGAGGACATAGTCACACTGGCAATGATCATAGGTGTCCTTTTAGGGAAATAGATGGATTTCCCTGGTAGATGATTAACCAGGTAAACCAGGAATCGCCATCGATTTTTCTACCAAAACAACCACAAAGCATGATCTGTATCATCTTTTCAGGTGAAGCGGAACGTTGACAAAATACTTGGGTGTGGCTCAAAATTCAAGAGCTAGGGATTCGCAGGTGTTAGTCTTTGGTTCCGTTTACCAAGGGTGTCATTTTGGTACCTGTGTTTGGGCCACAGGAGCGAGGCCATATATGTCTTGAAATCAAGAAAGCATACAATTGAGGGATCGAGTTTAGTTGCCCGCCCAAATTTGACCAAAACAAATCCACAAGGGAACTTAAAAAAGTGCTTTCATAGCATTGTAGATCACTCACGAAAGAAGTAGGAATCAATTCCTCCACACGCTCTAGCGTCTAAGACTTAAACTAGACAGTGGCTTGGAACAACTTTGGTTGTGGGATGTCCAGCAATAAACCGACGCACAGCAAACAACAAACAAATCCAGGCCTGTCTCTTGCGCGCGAATCAACTGGTCAGGCAACCAACGCAAATCTGTACATTGTGACTGGCTTGTTCGACTGGTCGGCTTGCAGATTGCTTCGCCCATCAGTCCTCGCATGGAACGATCAGCACAACTCGGACTTGCAGTTTGCTTCGCCGTGCGCTGTGCTGATCTGAGGTGACTTTGGAGCCAAAAATCTGACCGGCTGCCAGCTTCACTGGAACTTGAGGTCTCTAGTGATTCCAGCACAAGAAACTCGGAAGGCACAGTCAAGATGAGATTGCGGCTAGAATGTTGAATGTATGCGCAATATGTCCATGTACATACATATATATATAATATGTATTTAACATCCAAATGCGGGAACCCAACATGGGATGACTTCTCACCTAAAACCGACACTGTGGGAGATCTTTGGGGCGACCTTGCAGAATACGCATCTTGCATTGCTTGCCTTTGATTCTTTGTCTGATTCTGATGATCTGCGCCCCTTTCCGAGGCTCTGCTTTGAAGCACTGAAGCAAATTATGGCAATTCTGGCATGCAGGTGTGTGGATTAAAATGACCTCGCTTTCGGGTTTGAAGCCTCTGACACTGGCCTCCATCGCAGGAAAGTGCGGTCAATCTCAATCCTGCCCTCCACGAGCTCCTCAGTGCCCTCCGAAGCCTCAATGTCTTGCTCACTGCTGTTCTCTGTCACCGAAATTTGGTCTCTCGATCGCATCCATGCTCCATCACGTCCCCCATCTAAGGTCTCCCCTATGAGGTACTCCAAGGACTCAGTAAATATGATATCTGCATGGGTCAAAGTCTGGTTCTCGGCAGCCCTCAACACATGTGGATACTGTTCTGGGTGGATGAAGACCAAACAGCCGCCCTGGATCTCCAAGGGAAGATCTTGACTACGAAGGGCATCGCGACACGGCCGCAAAGCGGGGCCATGAAGAAAACGATTACGCAGGACTCTGCACATTCTGTTCACCTCAAGTTCAAGGCAACCTCTGAATCACGACCATCAGAATGCAAAAAACAATTGAAGGAAAAAAACGAGGACAAATCACCGCAAGCCAAGCATTTGGGACATCATTCTGAATCATTATGCCATAAACCAGCATCTTTAAAGGTTTCGAAGCAATCTTGCATTTGGGGCCAAATTAAGAAAACTTGCGACGACATGCATTCAAGTCACTCGGCCCTTGAACACATTTTCACGGACAGGACTATCTTCGAGCATGGGCACAGGGTCTTCGGCAGTTTCCAGCGGGGCTGCTCCGATGTTTCTTTGCACGAAGTCTGCCTGTTGGATGTCGACGATCATCTGAGCTTCGAGTTCTGGAATAACTGCTGGCGGCTCGAGATGATGGACCGTCCTTCAAAGCTTGAGGCTTGTCGTGTCCAGAGTCTGTTCTGTTTCCAGAGTCAGTATCATTGGCAAACATTAACTCACAAAATGGCTGCACAAAATGATGCTTTGGCCGCCAAGGCTCTCCAAAACAACAAGCTGCTCCGTCTCCTTCTCCATTCCCTGGTCCTCCTGGGCATAGATGGCTTGATCTCGAGTTGCCATCACCCTCACGATCGGCACAGTCACGGTGCCCAGGGTGCTCAGGGTGTGCCTGGACGGTTTCTTCGCGGAGAAAAGGTCACCCAAGACGGCAGTCAATGAGATCACCTCCACAAGCGCTTGAAGTTCTCCAAGAAGATCTTCCACGGCTCTCACCACGAGCGACTCTTGGCTTTGCCTCGTGCACTCTATCTGCATTGGACGGATCAACCATGGATCCACCAGATGTTGCGCTTGGCAAAGTCTGGGGATCCATCTCTCATCTTGAAGGACAGCTTTCATGCATTCTATCCCAAGCGCCGCCTGGGCCAAATGCTTGGTGCTCATGGTTCCAAACAGCAGTTTCTGCAGTCTCCTGGAGCACTTCTGGAGCCATTCCCTCTTCTTGCTATCAAAAACCTCGGATTTGCAAAGATATGGAGAGAATGCTGTCAAACGATTCCGGTCGTCGCGAAGTGGGCATGAACCATCATGATACCCCAAGCGGCTTCGGTCAACCTCTGAGTTCCTGCTAAACCAATGGCCTTGCCACCACTCTGGGATCCCGCGGAGGGTAATCAGCTGGCCTGTCGCCTCTGCCGGGGAGATTAAATCCCAGGCGCCACAGCGCCCCGCGCAGTGCTGTGCCCACTCATGCAAACGCTCGTCCTGCGTCACTTCGGCCCACTCCCTCAGCATGCACCGCCTGTGGCACATGCGTCGCTGGATGCACCACATGTTTTTGCTCACAATAATGTGTGTACCGCAGAGAGCGTCATGCACACATTGAATCTTCTCACTGCACGCGCATACCACATCAAGCAACGTGCGAGACTCCCCAAGCAAAAAAGGGCACGCTATCGCCGTCATGAGCGTCACAGCCTTGAGCTTGAAATTCCAGCTAAAAACACTCCCATGATGTGCTCCACAGGGACAAACGCACACGCACCCCCCAAGTAATTCGAAGTTTATGTGACATGTCTTCGCCAAGTATTGGAATTCTGTGCCAAACTTGATTCCTGATGGTATTCTGGTGAATGTGCCCATCCCCTTTGCCATACAAGCGCTGAACGTGATCTGTTTCCCTGCCTTTCGTGAAACAATTCATACCGAGTTGTTCAACATATCCCATACACCTCAAGTGGACCAAATCGAGAGCCCCCA